TTCGATACTTGGTAACAATCTTGAAAAGGGGTAAAATAAGGTGTTTAAAAAATTTTCTGCATTAAAAAATATTATATAATCTAGAGGTTTGGGTACGTGCGAGGTCGGGTACCTCATGGGTACCCAAAATTAGTCAGAATTTTTTGGGTCCGTGTGAACTTTTTTTGGGTACGCGTGAGCTGGGTGCCCCCCGAAACCCGCCCCCATCTCCCCAAAACCCAAACTGACTATGTGGTCGTCGGTTACTCTCGGATCTGGGAACATAAATATTGAAAAATTATTAAAGCAAGTCGCTGACATTTAGGAGCCATTGAATATAATGAAGCTCTTTGGTAAAACTAACTGATGATAACGGCGTATAAGAGGGTCCGTCAATGTACAAATCATGCTCTTTGTTGGAGCAATACGTGGACGGACTGCAATCTGGTTGATTACAAATGTCGGAATGACGTACGGAGTACGGAGTATTGTGTCAGGAATTATCGCAGCCGGGGATCACCGACCCACGAAAGTGAGGATATTAATGAAGTCGAGTTGCAATAACCGAAAGTGCCGCTTGCAAAATTATTGTCTATCACCGAGTCCGTATATACTGTAGCGGGGAACCAGCAATGGAGGACCTGTATGCAAGAGATCTTTGCGGATCTCTGATTGGTCGGTGTGACGTAGATGGGCGGAGATATCACCCGGGTGCGGTCACCACAGATAATAGTAGATTCGCTCAGGAAATCTGAATAACACATTCGACACTGCTTTCGCTGAAACGCCTCTGTTTCCTGTTCGGGGTTACCCTCCTAGATCGGTGGTGTGTGGTCGTTTAGCGTGTCTTTTGCTGATCTCGATTCACCCGTCTGCTTCTTCAGACTAACCTGTGAGCTCCCTGGTTCAATAGTTATCAGGGCTGACGTGGAGCCATATGCATGGTTCAGAATCTCCGATGTTGTATTAACACAGACCAGGAAAAGAATTCGAGTTCGCCCCTTTAACTTTCCCCTAAGTAAATATAGAGCAACAATACTACAGATGCAAATGTAAGTCAAACCGGTTAATAGACATAGATATACCGGAGATATTGCCCAACCGAGCGTGGAGTGGTGGAGAGACCAGCATCGAACTGACTGCCATCACGGACTGGAAAAAGTCTTTCGTCGCGAAAATAATCCTGCAAATCTTGGATAATAGGAAGGTACACGAAGCTGTATTATAGTTTAAAGAGTACTCACGCTGAAACAATTTCAATGCTGACGATGCTGACAATCTAAATGCACTGAATGGGGGATTGACCAGCCTGCAGGTATCAAATTCGACCATTTGAAGCAGTCATCCTGGAAATTTCACAGGAAAGAGCGCAAAATATGACATGTATGGGGGTTACTAAAGATTCGATGCAAAATTGCAGAGAAAGAAGACATTTAGGGGTTACCTTGTTAAGATCCACCCTAGCGGATCGACACGGAGGCCACTAATGGATGCCTACCGCAATCCAGTTACCAATCACGACGGCCAGGGAAGTGATCCTAAGCCCATCCAAGTTGAAATGGTATATATAGTGCGCGGTCAGATACATCGCATATCGGGGGGGGGGGGGGGGGGGGGGGGTCACGTGGGATTTCGCAAAATTTCGTGGGCGTGGATACATAAGTATATACCAAAGGAAGATCTTGAAGTATGAGTACTGAATCGCACAGATCATGCCGGTGTAGACATTGGCGAAAAGTGCTGCGTGATTCCCAGTCCATTTTTACTAGTTAGGCGTACTTTGCTTTTTTAATCTGCTTTTAATTTATGGTAGCCGGACGTTTTATTCGTTCAGCAACTGTGGAAGGAGAAGCCGTAGGCAAGCGAGTTACGTCAACATTGTGGCTGCCTTCAATTTAACGTATCGAACTCCGTAACCCTATCCGTGAAGGTCAAATGTTTTTATCTCTTGGCCATAATTGAAGTCTATGTATAGCTGCGCTATCTCGCACAATGAACGGAAACTTGACTTTGACCAGGGCTTCGTCAGAGCGCCTGCACTCCTGGCTGCTGGCTACGGCCGCTCAGCCGCCTGGGGACCTGCCGTAGAGACATACCAGAGCGCATATTGCAATCGCAGTATCAGCCAGGGCAAACCTGCCTATGTAACTTTACTACTGAACCTAGAGCATGTCCATTTTTAACAGAACGGCCGAGAGTGTGCCCAGATATTATTCAGCCAACGTTATCACTCTAATATAGTACTCAAAATAGGATCGTTCTGAAGTGGTTGGAATGAGCTAAAAGTAGACAGTTCCCGGGGCGGAAGACATATGAGAGCCTTGTCGGTAGCGAGTAGATGGTACGCTGAGTAAACGGAGAGGTTGGCATCCAATTAGCTTATACTTGTAATGTTCACATTAAGTCCACGCTCGGAAACCTACCGGCCGCCTGCCACCTCCGACTGTAATTCCAAATTGCCTCTCTGAGTATTTCTAAATCCTCCCGCCATTGTATCTGGTCAATTTCAGTGTGAAACGTTAGTAGTTCTGCCGTAGCAAGGTAAAGAACGTGGGGGTACGTTGGCGGGAGAGACATCTGATTGATCTTTGGGAAACAGTGATTGAAGCTGCGCGCCACATCAACCACCATTCGTGTAGCACTTTTTGTTGCCAGCAGTGAGGTCGGGCTGGAAGCTGCATAGCCGTTTCCGTCGTTGGAAAATATCACCGGGCTTGGCGGTAAAGTAACACTGAAATTATGGAGCAGGAAAAGAGATCTATTATTCACCTTAGTTCGGCCAATGACCTATCGATACCAGTAGAGACGAAACACTCACGCGAGCACTATTGCGGATGCCTCACAATAGTCACAAACAGTACCACCATTTTGGTCAATGAGGATGCCCATCAGGCGTCGAATAGCATCATCAAGCTCAGCCTTTTTACTATCAAGGGAATATAATGGCACCACAGCCCGGCGAGCATGAACAGAGACCACCCTATCTAGTAAACGGCATGCTTGAGCTTGTCGGCCAAAAATACCGACGGGCTCGTGGGCGGCAGCGGCACCGAAGGAAAGGTCAAGTTTATCCGCTTCCAATGGGAGGAATGGCGGTACAAAGTCCCCGCTAATCGCAAACGGTTTTTGACGTGTGTCGCTTTGAATACAGAGACATCTACTCCATGTTAGGGGATAACCCATAGTACACTGAAGAATCATTCACCTGTCACGGATGACCAAACCCCACCAGAGGTTGCATCTCTCGGCTTTTTCAGCCCAAACATCGTTGTCATCTGAGATCACCAACGGTCTTTCTTCTGTATGTAAATCCAACCAAAATCCCATTCGCGTGCAAAGTCCGATTGTTTTATGACACTCGGCTGTCATTCCAGAGCCATACTCGTAACATGCCATGAGCAGCCCCGCCTGTATCAACTCTATCGATGCGTTAAGGGTTGCGCTTGAGCGCCAGTAAATGGTGTAGATGGCTTTGTAGAGTGGCTCGTGAATTCCTCCGTTTGCCGGATAGTGGGTTAATAGAAAGACGCAGAGTAACAACAAAGCGAACTCAGAATATTTTGTCTGACTAAACGCCGTCAGTCTCTTATAAAACAGCTTCTGCGATATTATAGGGACCCATTTGTGAACATTCTGAAAATATAATTGGCATGCTCTGTAGACCTCGCCTGGCTTTGTCTGGAGGATTCTCAATATTTCCTCACCAGCACCGGAGAGGTCATTTATTGCCTCGAGCCGAGCGGCAAGGTTCATATGAGCCACCGATGGGCTTGAGTGATCAACTAGCCCCAAGTTGGAAAACGCCAAAGCCGGTTGAGCTGACTTGGAAAGCTCAGAATCCAACAGGCTTTCGAATATTTTCAGTCTTTTCCTTATCTGACGAAATTCATCCACCAAAGACAGCTTAGAATCGTCATATACACATTTGACATGGTATCTACACCATATAGTCAGATGTGGGAGCCGTACTTTCTTCATGCATTGTGTAAAAGGCAATACCATGCCTCAAGGATACTCTATGACTTACTTTCTGCATTGTAAGCAACCAGGGAGCATTTTGTCACATTTCTTTTTCCTCCTGCGGCACGACACGCAGACATTGTTCGCCCGCCGCAAAGGAGTACCTCCCGTATTCTCAGGAACCTGGTGATTAAAATCCATAACTTGACGACGCAATGTATGTATCTGCCGAGTTTTCAGGAAACAGCAGACGAATTGCCACGAGTTTCGTATATGGTAATGATGACGAGCAAGTCATAGGTGGGTCATTAGTGAATTAGTTAATTAGAAGTTGCGTGATTACTAATCCGCCTGTGCACCGATCTACGTCAAAGATTCCAACCATGCATCCCAAATTTACGATTCTGAATACAAATTTAAAGCACAGGCTCTTACGAGATTAAGACAGTGTTCTAATCTCTAGAAATTCCACATCTGTCTCTACCGTACTCGATTGAAAGAAGGGTCAGCAGGCAGCCGAAAGCGGCCGCATGTGGGGCATTGAATGGGCCATATTGTATTCTCGATTCGTTATTGGCTTACAAATCAAACTGCTCGCGGCTTAACTATCCTCTTTTTGGTGATGATACGCATTGAGGCACGTATAACTATCAGGCTTAAACTCTGTCGGGCGGCCGATGGCGGCCGCGTCGTGAGTTATATCTTTCTTGGACTATTCTTGGCACGGCCGAGCAGGTCCGACATCTCTACGCAAATTAAGCTATTCCAAACAAAAATGGAGGACAGTCAAGCCTACCCAACGATCAATTTCAAGCAGAGCGATATGGGTTACAAATGTCGCGTTAGATATCACAAATGAATGGATAATTTCTACATTGATTTCCAAGCAGATTTGTATTATTTGTTAGCGTATGTCGAGATAAAAAAATCTCTTGCAAGATGTACGGACCATAGGCTATATATAATCGCGCTTGTTCTTTGTTGTTTCACTAATTTGCATACACGTCCTTCAATTGACGACGAGTAAGTGTGCAACACTCTATCTTCTATTTATCTCCATCATGGTTACTGTCGCAATTGCTGGAGGAACCACAGGTATTGGGTCCAATGTCCTCTGCGAAATTATAGCGACAGGGAAGCATCAAGTGTTGGTGCTCTCTCGCTCCGAAAGACCTGAGCTTGAGCAACAAGGGATTTCCGTTCGTGTTGTTGACTATAGCTCCCGTCACCAGCTTGTGGAGGCTCTTAAAGGGATCCATACTGTTATTAGCTGCATTTGGTCTTTCGGTCGAGACTTTGGTACCTCCCAACTCGCCTTACTGGAAGCCGCAAAGGATGCCAATGTGAAGCGCTTCGTCCCTTCTGATTGGGCGACTGATCACTACGACTATGTCAGCGCCTATGCATCCAAGAGTACGATTTGGCATGCAGTTCGGAACTCTGGCTTAGAGTATACTCGTTTTGTGAATGGAATTTGGATGAACCTGTGGGGCATGGGCGCACCACGGAATGAGGCCGAGGCTTTGGCAGGGTACAGTGGCCCTCCTTTCTTGATTGACCTCAAAAAACGGACCGCTATCATCCCTGGTGATGGGTCGCATAAAGTTGTTTTTACAAATATGATGGATGTTGGCAGATTTGTTGCTGCCAGTCTGGACTTGCAATACTGGGCACCAGATAGTACGATTGTTGGAGATAAGTTGAGCTATAACGAGGTCGTCGAGCTTGCGGAAGAAGTCACTGGCCATGCGTTCGAAAGAACTTATTGCTCCGAGACTGAGATCACACGTGTGCTTGCTGAGAATCCGGACCCAATGCAGTTGTTTTTCTATCAGTTTATGAAGCTGATTGTTGACGGCGCCCTTGATTTTGAGGGTACATTAAACGCGAAATTTCCCGACCTCAAGCCAGTTAAGGCAAGACAATATCTTAATCGGTACTGGGCCAATGAATAGGAATAAATAATGAAAAATATCCTGGAAGTTAGTGGGGGCTGTATTGTCAACTTCTTCCTTGCCTTGAATGGGTCTATCTGTCATTTAAAGTCCAGATGAAGTGTACCGCAATGCGTGTATTCTGTGGTAACTAATTTACATAGAACAATTACCAATCCAGAAATAGAATGATATCTCGGGTTATTTGAGCCGCTTAGTCTCGCCTAGGACTATCTATCTCTTGATTTGTGAGATACGGAATTTTTATGAGGAAAAGGATAAGGTTAGATTCCTTTGAAGCACTTAATACATTATAAGGGGTGAGAACACGAGAAGTGAGAGGTTTATGTTAATTGTAGCTTGCAATTAACGGTACATATATCAAGGTCCCGCAATCGCCGCATCTTGTACAACACATAAGTAAAGGATGTGAGTCAGACAGCTTCTTCCCTAGTTCGTTACAGGGAAGAGACAAAAGTCAGTTTGATGTAACAAAGAAACTGTGTCGCGGAAAGACGGTATCGCGCGGTCCCGTAATCCTGTACTGTAGGACGATCCTAATATTTGAAACATATCTATCTCCAACACAGCAACCACAGAATTATATAAGACTAGGTAGTCGTAAGGTTTCTGGCTGTAAGATAATAGGCGGACCGGAATCAAATTAACATAAAGAAATGGTAACTGAGAAGATAGTAAGTACTAAGGCGAAGATGGTAAATTGTGAACAGCACCCCTGAAGAGAGAGTGGAAAGGTAATCAGAACGTAATGGCACGCAAGTTGACTAACCAGGCTCGTGACCTCCGAAGTTGGCAGTGGTGACCGGGACCACAGCACAGTTTTAGGGGGAGGTCGCACGTATCGTAAGAAACTTTTCACTTACTCCACGTTTCAGGGCGTGAGTATTCTGCGAATAAGAGCCTCATAGATAGAGCTTTCTGACAATGAGGGCATTCCCTTCATGACAGGATAAACCCTCCTCTCAGTGCGTTCACTTAAGGACAATACCGAATTATTGGCTTAAGTTGAGCCCTTTTTATTACCTGTATTAGCTAGGTGGCTGTTATCTGGTTGCCATATGTCGAACATTCCTATTTCCGTGTCTTCGTTGACAACTTGACCACACTAAACTCTAGGGTTGAACTTATCCTTGATAAGCAACGGTTAACTAACCGCTTCCCAGATGGTTGAAGCTGCCAGCTGCAGCAAGTGCGCAGTCATTAGGATTAGGTCTAATCTGTGACATTTGGTAATATGAGAGCTCCTTCCATCAAAGCTGGACGGCCGAGAAACATCTCAACTTTCACGCCGGAAGCCTTGTGCGATCGTCTGCTTGCGAAGCTGGATTTACATCTCTATGAGATGGAACTGTTCCTGCTGGATGGATTCAACATTTTCGTACCGGAAAAGGGATTTGCTGAGCAAATAGTAAAAATTCTATCGCGTTAGGTGATCGGTACTCGGCTCGTCCATGTCCGACTTCGGTGTCCGACGACTCCGTTCTTAGTTAACAAAGATGTCTGCTTATGTTACACCAACAATGCATAGAGATGATGCTGATGTGATGTTTCGTAATATTGAGTTGTTTACTTAAGATACTGAGATTTATGTCGCCTTAACATAAATGGAAAGAGGTACTCAACATGGTTCATGTACAACTTGCGCATCTTTCCACTTCTACCTCATAGCCAACCACTATTTCAATTGTATTCATCTCTGAGTCGCCTGATTAAGATTCAGTATGATATTTTCCATTCTCACCGCCTTGTTGCTCCTCGGTTATTGTGCTCTCCTTACTGCCTCTTACTGCATTGAAGAGTTAGGACTGAGTACGAATTTCGCTCCCCTAAGCGACGGGGCCGCTGGAGTCCCTCTTAATGCTGACGGGTATGCGATCGTGCCTTTTGGAGGAGGTGCTTATATGGTCACTGAGGGTATCTACCAGTCTCTCATCCTCGTCTCGACGGAGGGTGTTATCCTGGTTGACAGCCCTCCCACGATTGGCCACAAGCTCCAGTGGGCTATAGGCAACATCACGGACCTTCCTGTAAAGTACTTTATCTACTCACATGAGCATGCCGATCACACTGGCGGAGCATTTCTCTTTATGTCCCATCCAGATGTGATAACCGTCGCCCACGAAAATACTGCGTATGTGCTCTCGTACAGGAAGGACCCCAACCGCCCAGTCCCGCAGATCACATTTTGGGATGACTATACAGTTCGACTGGGAAATCAGACGCTGCAGCTTTCCTGGAAGGGGCCAAGTCACACTCCAGGGAATATTTTTATCTATGCTTCAGCTCAGAGGGTACTTATGCTTGTCGACACCGTCTTCCCTGGATGGGTACCATTCAACGACTTTGCCGAATCGTCCTTCATTCCAGGTTGGTTTGAGGCACACGACTACTTGCTTGAATACGATTTCGACCACTATCTCGGTGGGCATCTGGGCCATCCAGGGACGCGGCAGGATGTTCAGCTCCAGCGGGATTATATCCACGACGTCTACAATAATTGTGTGGCGGCTATAAATGCGAGCGCGACAAATAATACTGTAGTAGGCGAACAGAATCTTGCGGCAAAGGTCTTTGCGAATAATCCGGGAAATTTCTGGGCCATGTTTAGAGTATACACAGACTCAGTGAGTGATTTATGTTATAATATGACAAGCAAAAAGTGGTTAGGAAGGCTTTCCGGGCAGGACGTGTACGGGTTTAGCCATGCGACTACGATGGTGGAGTCGTTGAGAATTGATTGGGATATCTTGGGCCCTTTTGCAGTTGCACCAAATTAGGGAACCCGTTGTCTTCGCCTACATGTGATCCAGCCAATACAGCTCTCTCTACTTTCAATAAATCCTGCTCATACATGTATGCTCATGGACTAGTTCTATACCATTAAATGCCCATAGAAGGACTCATTCGCCTTTTTATGGCTCTTATAGTGCCGGAATAATGAGTTTAGTTCATAAACGCAAAGAGCTAAGCAACTAAGTGGAAGAAACTGAGAGGAGATGGAGGCAGAAATATCGTAGAACACCGAAATATATTCAAAATATTAGCAGCTGGTCTAACCCATAAGAAGGAAATAGGAATGATGTACTGAAGATTACCTACGCGCGGCAGCTGTCGTCGGTGAATATAACCGGACACGACCGCGAGAAGAACACCGATAATATCCGGAAAATAAAGAATATCTGACCATGTAATAACTCCAAATACCGAAAATAAACAATATGGCTACCAATAAGGTAGGTTAAATTATATCATAACTATGATGTGGGAGGTTGGCAGATCTTGATTTGTAATCCGGCCACGCTTCTGGAAACCTAGGGAGGTTAGAAGGAATTCCTACTTTTGCATTTCGGCTTCACTTAGTTTCAGATCGTGGTCTCAATCGTAGGATCACTCATCCATTCACAAATCCATCTATCAATCCAACGCTTATTGTCAATGCTCCTAGTAGATCGCAGTGTACGATATTCCCATACTACACGTGCCTGTGAAAGTGGAACAGAGATCTACAAGTGAGTACCCGAGAATTTTATGCCTTCATCTGGCCGGGTCCTGTTCCCCCTCTGCTAGTATCAATTTGCAGGCTTCGATATAGTTCTGTCTAACAAAACTAGCAGGCACCAAGGAAAAAAAGGCCTATAGCGAATCTAAGCTTTTGAGCACAAGATGCCTTATCCATACTCTTCTGGGCCGCGTCCCCAACAGCTATCTGGAGGCCCTTCGCAAAAGACAAAGCACCACGGAGATTCACTCTCTAACAATCTCCAACATGAATTTCCGCTGCTTGTATGATTCCATTATTCAGCCGCAACTTATGTGTTGACGTCCACTTCTTAATGTGCAGCTGCAAGTGAAGTGCTGACTAGCTGTTAGGAACCATATAATCAGAAACGCAATTTCTCACATACGTCAACAGACCAGATCGCACTTTTGTCAAAACCGCTTTCACAGCCAGATTCGCTCCTAGAGAGCCCAGTTTTCCAGATTGAGCATGGGACTCTACCAAACTCGTCGACTCCAGGTATTGGCAATGATCTTCTCACCGGGGCAAGCAACAAGAAGAGTACCAGTGAGGACAAAGAGGACATGATGTTAGCGCAAAGAAGGCGCAGGGCACAGAGTAGAGCAGCGTGAGTAAATAACCAGATTATGCTGCGTGATAGAGCACAGGAAAATCCCCCTGTACACATTGCATTTCGCCCGTAGGGTGTGTACCTGTTTCACAGCTAATATATGCGGCACATCCGTGCTGGTTTGGCAGTCAAAAAGCATATCGCGAACGAAAGGTGCATCATGTGCACGACCTAGAACAGAGGGTCTCTCTTCTCAAAGAAGAGTCTAGTACCTTGCAAGCCGATAACAAGCTTCTTAAACTGGAGCTAGCGACACTTACAACCGAAATTGGAATCCTCCACACAATGTCAAGTCCATTTGGCCAAAATCAAAATACTCATAAATCACCTACCGAGCTAGCTGCTGCTGTGGCCATGAGAGATATGCTAGCGAGCACCCACATTTCTTTAGAGTCTCATCATGTGACCTCAAGTTTCCCTCATCGCCACATAGTTGATGATCATCGCCGCACGGTTGATGAAAAGACGGGAGAGAAACTGCTTAGTCCCAATGCAGCATGGGATTTCATTCAGTCGCATGAATTCTTCAAGAAAGGATTGGTGGATATTGCCGTTGTTAGAAATTATTTGCAAGGTCACGCTCAATGTGACGGGCAGGGACCAGCCTTCCCTGAAAGTGTCGTCCGGAAAGCTGTCGAGGAGAGCGTCTCTGACGGCAGTGGGGGATTGATTTAGTGTTTTCAGGACCCTATATACCATACAACCTTGAGAATTTTACAGCTCCCAGTTGGGTATGGGAGTGTGGGGGGTCTGAGAATACCATGACACTAGGTTTTATTCGTACTATAAAGACGACATACTCTACGTTGCATTCTTTCAATCGGGTTCAATAGTTTCATATTGCGTCTTTAAAGAAATTACGTTCAATCTGTAGAATTGAAGGGGACATTGGCCTCGACAACTGAAGGGCGATCTATGGGGTGATGAACTGAGTGTAACTTCAGAGAATCCTAGCTTCCAACTGCGAACTGTTTCAAAAAAGTGACTGCTCATCGTCAATGATCAGCCGGCACTGCATCGGCTAACAGGCTGCATGGCATTCAGGAGGCAAGTACAGTCCAAAATAAACTTCGCTATATAATTAGGATATTGCTAATGACACTCCAAAAACGACTGTTGCACGCCTCGCTAAACCTAATCGGGAACCCCCTTGCCCCACCCTCAAAAGTAACACTCGACATCTGCATAAACACTACCAAGCCCTTATGTATGCATATTCCTATACATAAGCGCTTCTCGCGGTTGCCCACGATGTCAACCGCTACCTACTCACGTGACCTACATGACAATCAACAAAATTACATAATCTTATAATCAAAACAAACAGCATACCAACCACCCCTTACATTCGCCATCCCCTTACACCATAGCTATCATATCTACCCTCTCATCACGAAGGCCTTACAGCTGTCCAAATCGCTCAAATCTGCAGAGTTTTTGAAAGAGACACGATTTCCTAATTCAGAAGCTAATCTACTACATATAGGCTAAATCTCTCCACGCCCTCCACGCCCTGCACGCCCTACACGCCCTACACGGGCTATACGCTTCGCCACGATCTCAAATCCAGAGAGATCTCGCTTGGTTGACTAGGATAATTAGGTGTCAACATGAGTGGGTGTATAAGTGCATAAGCCCACGAGAGCTATCGAATTTGACAGAATGCGACGGAACGTACACGTGACGACGATCTTCAACGATTGATATTAACAGATTGCATACATGACGAAAGAGCTTCAACACTCTATATTTCTCCTGATTTCTATGAGATTCTATTCTGACGCATTGCCTCGATTTCATGAATTTATAAATACTGCCTGTTTTCCTATAGCTAGTCGAATCAAGTTTAATCATTGTGATGAAGTTAGAGCATTCTTCTATCATAAGTTAGCTTCCGATTCTTTGCCGAATCGTATACTGATTTGATCGATCGTGCACATTTGCTTGCTTGTGCACGCCGAAGGATTTATGCCGACCCCGTAAATCCGATATTAGGTTACTTTCTTAGTAGCTGCTTTCTTGGTGGTTGCTTTCTTAGTGGTTGCTTTCTTGGTAGTTGCTTTCTTGGTGGTTGCTTTCTTGGTAGTTGCTTTCTTAGTGGTAGCTTTCTTGGTGGTGGCTTTCTTGGTAGTGGCTTTCTTGGTACTAGCTGCAGTGGCATCAGCTACTACCTCGGGGTCCTTTCGAGCGTATTTAGCTCGCCCACGGGGGCGCCCAGCTACAGTCGCGATAGCTAGATCCTCAATTTGAAGCATCTTCTCTATATAAAGTAACTAGTAATCATCTTCAAGCGAAGTGCGTAACCACCACTACGCGTAGAATTGATCCCTTGCAAGAGGTTGATGGCCTTCTTCCGCTACCAAGATCTTATAGATACATAGTAATCCAAGTGCCTGCCGATAGTAGTAGGTGCAATCTACTACCTTTAGCTTACCCTCTTGGTAATCATCTAGTTACCTAGCTACTCGGAGTAGGGCATACAGAGCTATCCAGCTAATCACCGACTAAAATAATAGCTTCATCAGGCAATCTAGCAGCTTCTAGCGATCTTCCTCAATCGATTAGTTAATAGCAATATAACGAGTAGCCACCGCGGTTCGGATCGCCTGTATAACAGTCAATAAATCGCTAGTTAACCACCTAATAAATCGCTTAAGGTAGGCATAGGCACCCTCTACACTCGAAGAGGAAGTCTCCCCGAAATAGAGGGTTTAATTAGTATAGCAGCGAAGGAAGCGTTGCTTTATGCTATCTCTCATCCATTAGTCGTTGATATATTAAACTACTTCTATAAAGACCTTGTGTTCGAATTCCTTCTTAAAGCTTTGCCAAGAAGCCTCTATCTCAGCTATCGTAGGTACGAAGATGACTTGATTGAAAAGGCTTTTCGCGGAACTCCAGCGCGAGTTTATTTTATCTCGGATATCACCCTCCTCCTCAAGATAGACTAGTAGATACTACGCAATCATTAGCCTTAATCGCTTTTCAATATTCTTTTAAATATACCACACACATAATAGAGAGATTATAGTAGGAAAGATAGTAGCTAGAGCAGCTAGTAAACTCTCTATATCGTCGGAAAAGATAGTAGTAGTGTCAGCCTATATATGTGTGTGTATGGCTATGTGAGGTTGGTTGACCAGCGGCCCGCCAGCCAACGGCCCGGACCGGACCATCGTTTTTCCCGCAGAAGGACCCCTCTGCATATACCTCTTCAACAGAGAGTTTTACCATGGCTAATTAGCTACCAATCGACCACGGATTCTAACATCCAGCTCCTTCCTAATCTGTCAATTGGTCAGATCATCGATATATGATCGAATCATCGATTAGATCATTGATTTGGCCTATTTCCTGCTGCCTAAACTGTCCCAACCGTGTACTTAAACACCCGTTCGCTCGCTAGTTTAGCAGTTCAGATTCAATGCACTTTTCAGTCTATCCTATTGATCTCGTTTGACCGTCATACCTAGAGAAGATCTTATGAACCCAAGGACCATCCGTCTTATCTTGGTCCTATTCGCTAGAAGAACTTCTATCTTGACTGGCCATCCTAACGTCCTATGTGGATCCTTTTTCATCGGATACACTAGGATCTGTTAAGTAGGAAGAGGTATTAAACGCGTATATAGGAGATCTCGCAGGGTCTCCAAAACCTACTAGTAGGCAGTCTCTTTTTTATAAGAGACGAAAGCGTATACAATATAGAAGGTTTTGCTATTCGCCGATCTTCCAACAATATCTACTATAGGCATTTTGTAGCAATTCGTCTTGTATATAGCATTAATCTAAAGCAAACTAGGATATCTAGCTAGAAGATCAAGGCCCGAATAAGATACACAAAAACATACTAAACCCGGTAGGAACCCCCATCCTCCTTCTTCCAATAGATCTCCCAGTCCGGTAGACCCATTAGAAGAGCCGAAGTAGGTAAGCGGCCCTTAAGAAATTGCTTCCGGGCGCGGAGACGGAGGTTCCGGATATCTCTTGCGTTAAGGCGAATCTAGGCTTTGTATAGGTCCTCAATATCAGCCCTAGGCTTACTATAAGCTCCCTCATTACGTAAAATATTAATAATCTCTAGGTTCGTATAGCGAAGCATAAATAGTTGAAGTACCTGCTCTTTGCGATCTGCTAGCTAGCGGCGACGGTATATTAGATATATAGCTAGTTCGGATACAATATAGCCACTATAAGAGCCCTCCTTGACGGTAAAGAGCTATCCCCCTCTAACCCTCGCTATATAGGCAGAGAATCGGCAGCCACAACGGCGAGAGGGCCTATCGCGAGAGGGTTAATTAGGGCGTTTAGGGCGTCTCCGGGGCTAACCGCTACGATCGTAGTGTAGCTATACTAAGTAGCCGTTTGAATTCTTGACAGTAATAGCGTAGCCCTACTAGGCGGCGAATTCGTTAAGGATAGCCCTAGCTTCCTAGCTAGAATCGACCTGAATTAGCCAGTTATTCAGAGGAGGTAGAAGGGCCATCTTGAATAGAAAACGTAGCTATTTCGAAATCTCTGCATATTTGATAGATTTAGATAGGCGTAGGTAGTAATAAGAGAGCCATAGTGATAGGGGTAGAGGGTTTAGTATACGAAGGGGGTTTAGTATATAGTTTGTTTTGAAAACAAAGATTATAAAATCATTTGCATGCAACGGTCACGTGAGTAGGTAGCGGTTGACGTCGTGGGCAACCGCGAGAAGCGCTTATGTATAGGAATATGCATACATAAGGGCTTGGTAGTGTTTATGCAGATGTCGAGTGTTACTTTTGAGGGTGGGGCAAGGGGGTTCCCGATTAGGTTTAGCGAGGCGTGCAACAGTCGTTTTTGGAGTGTCATTAGCAACATCCTATAATTAGACGCTACCAGCCTGCTGTGCAGTAGAATTTCATACCACAGACCCCGAGAAACACCTTTCGTTTCCGCTGGCAACTTGAGCGGAGTCTTCATAGGTGGGGTCTGGGCCATATTCCTTTGAATCCCTAGAGTCATCATTCCTACTATCTTCCGTCTTATGAGCTTGATGGTTGAAAGGATTGGGAATCGTGCATTCCTCTCTTGCAATAGTGGTTACCCCACCTATCCTATCTCTACTGTAGCCTTTATTCTGCTGACTGATAGTGGGTTGAGGAGGCAAAACTGGCTGTAAATTATAAGAGAGTGAAAGCGATTGCGACTTTTCTGTGACCTGGTCGGAAGGCTAAGGTTCATTCCTACTAGTGAAATTCCGTATAACTAGAATTCTCGGATTAATAATACTGAGGCCCGGAGAGGTTAATCGTGAGCTGAGAGATAATGTTTTTCGGGAGAAACAAGACGCTACTGACGCGGTTCCGCTGGTTGTTAATATTTAGTCGGTTTTCCTTGAATATTTGTATTCTTCTAGATACTCTATAATAAACGTATTAACCGATAGAGTAGGAACGAAAGTATTGTATAAAAGTTGATCCTTATGTTCTAGGCGCGCGGAGTTACTCGAACACCCTACAGTATCGAATATAGAATCCAGAAGAGTTCTACTACAGATTCCGCTGACAGGATAGAGCAACATAAATTGTCCAGCTCTCCCAGGCCCTTCTTTTAAAAAGGATTAGAAAATATAAGGAAGTATGGATAGAAAATTTCTGGTGACGGCTAAATGGTTACGATCGTGCAGTCACCAACCAGTTGCGGGGCCGCAACTTACAGATAGGCGACCGAGAGCCAATCGGTCCAAATCAATGAGAAGCCGGAAGGCTGCTCTCGTTCTACAGAGTCCTCTGCCACTGCCACCTCCACAGGGTCATCTACAACCTCAGGGACAAGCAATGTGTCGACCGGTACGGGGACAGCCTCACCCACTCCGTCCACTAACACAGCTTCCGGGCTTACTGCACTGGAATGGCCTTTATTTTTCCTTTCCTGTGGACTTTTTTTTGTTTAGGAAATGTGTTAAGATAGGATAACGAAGCACTTTTTGCTGGGATATTGGCGTATACAGCCTTCCATGTTTAGCCTTTAGAAGATACCGAGAAACGAGCGTTTTTCTGCCTATATCAACGCCTAGCTCTAGCCTTCTATAGATAGTTTCAGAATCATCTATAGTATCATTTGACCACGCCTCTTCCTCGTGTTTTTCGCAGTCTTATTAGCTAGAGATCACTAGTTTCATCAGCTATGTTTTGACATGAACCATTTCTGTAGACACGATCATATCAGGCTTTAATAGCAGAGAGTCTCGGGAACATTCTTTAAAGTAGCGTCCAAATACTCCATTAGGTATGCCTCGTAGAACACGCCCTCCCCTGTAATGAGAGTAGCCAGAGAGTCTCTACTCTCATCTATCATTAGCTTCACCCCCAGTGCTAATGTCAAGAGCTTCGGTAATAGCATCTGGTTCAAATATATAAAGGCCCGTCAATGATACTCCATCCTATCTGAATCACTTCTAATGCAGATATTCTAGGGCTTTGTCAGAGTTGTCAGCTCAATACAAACCCCATAGGATACCGTGAGAAAATCCTGGCACCAAATCTGCAGATTATCACATTTCCACAAATTGATGAACAATATATAAGATATGACTTTGAAATTCATGTGAATAGGAAATATTGGAGTATCGGATAGCAGAACTTGTCAATTTGTTGACAATAAATATGCAGTGTAGCAATCGTTGAGAGGGTGGTAGCTGCCTATACGGGCCCTCCCACCACCAAGTCCGTCGTATCCTATTAAGAGTGAGAATGAAAAATAAGAGGTACGGATTAAGTTCGTGCATAAACTCCGCCGAGGTAAGATAAATAGGAACGATAGGCTGCGCCCCTGTTGAACAGAGGCTCTAATTACTAAATAGCCTAATAAGCTTAACTAAGAAGTAGTGCAGATAGTAAGGCTTAGCTAAATTTTGACTAAATCTGGAAGGAGTCGGTGCACGAGACATATTTATTTACATTCGCGCTTATTATAGGTCCCTGTGTGCTCCAAACAGAAACTTAGTTTAGTTATTTAGGCCTAAGAATAGGAACGTAGATCGATCTACGTTAGTCTTGGTGAAAGACTCGGTTCTGTCTCCTGCGCTATCCACTCTATCCGAATCCGGATACGATGTCCAATCCACAATTTACGCCCCCAGCCACTACAGACACACGGAGAAATCTGTATAACTCACAAATTTCCCGATGAATGAGCTGATCGGCAGTTCGTACCTGACCTATTCAACATGCACATCTCTCGATCCAGTGATTACCGTGTTACCATGCAGTACAGTATTCTCACAGTCTGACATGTTCTCAAGATCTTAGTGCTGACTACAGGGGGTAATCACGGCTAATTCCAGATATTTGCTAGGCTTTCCACAGGGCTTACAGGGCTCCAGGGTAGACATTTAATCGCGGGCATCATCAGTCCCCAAATTCCTGGTTGGTTATTCATCCGTCAGACTCAGCTCTGAAGGTTCATCATCATCCTTTACGTTGGTGAATTTAGTGAAAATGGCCTTTCCAGTGTAGCGCACCCACAATGAGAACGAGAAGCGGTGTGCGCGGGCCGACGGTAGGCCGAATAGCACAGATACTAAACTAACCCAGACAGGCGTCTCCTCCGTTCCACCATTTCTGATATTGCAGGTCTTGAAGAATCTATTTGATTGACTAAGAACATCACTTGTCCTTGTTCTCTTTCAATCGATTTTTCACAACTCGCGAGTCAGCACAGCGTAGATCTCGGAGGCAAAATCGATCGATGTCTTCAGTGGTGTAGGCTATGCGTGGTGTAAGTTTGCTGAATTTTGCTCACATACGCGATCAAACCTATACTGGTGTAGTTCTGCGGTGACCGAACCATGGTTGTTTCCAATCTGGAGTCCATGGTTTGTCCCAGTATAAGTAGTCGATGTCATAATCAGTCACACGGAGTGCCGTAGTTTGTGCCCAAGGGAGTTGCGGTCACTCAGCCGTTTGAGGGTCTCAGCTGAATTATAGGGATATCTGTCGGAACAATAGATAATAATATAGACTAAGAATGTCGCCCATGGAGCATTTTTGCTCTAGCCGTAGTGTGCCCCATATTTGAACGATTGAATCCTTGCAGCTTCATTGCCAGGTGACTCGATGGCACTATACACAATACATTTCCACGCATCCCTCCTTGACGTCCATTGGGGCTGATTCCTCGTTTACGACGTTTCAGACCACTCACAGCCCACCATTTAACTAGTGCCCGAAATGCTGACCTCATATCGATGACTTCCCCGCCCACCAGATTCTTGGCACCCCCTGAAACAGCCATCATAAGCCAGAGGCTTGAATTGACACAGTATGTGCCAAGTGTTCTTGAAAGGCATCACAGAATCACCATCATGAGTGCCGACGGGATACCGCAGTTGTCTACTCGTCAAAGGCAGTGGGCTCCCAAGGCCAGGTCTGGGTGTATTACCTGCAAGTAAGATACCCTTTTCAAACACTGGAAGTCTCCACTGACTTTTCTGTAGAATCCGCAGAGTCAAATGCGACGAAGAAAAGCCTCATTGTCGGCGATGTCTCTCGACAGGTCGCAGATGTGACGGTTATGTTACCCCTTTCAGATCATGCTACGGCAATAATTCGTATCCACTGCGACATCTTAAAGTCAGTACCAGTTCGGGTAAATAGGTTGTCAATAATATACTCAAAACTGGATAGAGCAGTCTGGTTGGTCCTGGACGGTCATCTCCATGCTTTGAAGTCCCTCCTATGGGCAAAGTAACCGTCCCAATTACCCAACTTTCTGAGCTAGTCGATGGATTTCCGTTACTGTCTGAACAACATTCTTCCATCCCATACTCCTTGGCCGAGTCGTGGAATAACCACGTCATGCCATTTCTCATGAATAAGTTCAGGCCCTCGTTTGAAATGGCGAGAAGCACCTACAGTACTGTCCTCGATAGCCTTTCTAAGGCGGAGAAAGGCTCTGCACTGTATCAAGCCTGTATAGCCGTTGGATCCGCTTATATGGTTAACATCATCCGGTCTCCCAAAACGACCGTGGATCGAGCCAAAGCCTACGGGAATGCGCTTACCGTCATCTATTCAGCCATAATGGATCCCCAACAATGCAAAACTGACGACACATTATTAGCCGTTTGGCTGTTGGGCCTTTACGAGGTAATATTGGATGAACGTAGCCATTGTATAGTATCGACACTGCTGACACTTACTCTTAGCTCTTGTTAGGCGTACAAAATGGTGCTGACCCTGTCGCGACTCCTGGGTGGCATTCCCATAACCAGGCACTGACAGAGTTGATTCGCCTGCGAGGCTCAGAGCAGTTTACTACTCGAAGTGGGCGGAATCTGTTTGCCGTTATCTTTAATAATGTGGTTAGTTAAACACCATATGTTGTCAATATCTCTAACAGCAAGATACCAGGAAACTAGAGCACTCATGTCCGGTCAGGAATGTAAAGAGGCACTGGCATGGATTCTTCAGTTCCATAAATATTGCGAGCCTTCGGAATATCCAGTACTTCGGGCGTGTATTTTCTCGCACCACTGCGCTCGCATCTGCGGCCACATTCGTGCCCTAGTCGATGCAGGGGACCTTGAAGAGGTGCTGTCCAGCTCTCCATCGATCCTCCAAGACGTGGATGAAGTGGAGCGAGCAACTCACCCTTTGTCCCATGAGGAGGTGATAACGGACTACGTGGTAGAACCCCCAATGACACCGTACACTCCTCCGAAGCACGCGTATCCGAGCTACGTCGGTGTCCACGTCCTCCAAAGCAACTTCCGCATGCGTCTCTCATATGCCGTCTTTGGATTCCTGGACAATGCGTGCAGAGCACCGAGTTGTACACCTCAGCAGAAAATGGTTTTTTCACGGTATCGGCGTCGCTGTATCGAAGAGATTCAGGCTCTTTCGGACAAAGTCTCACGTATCTCGGCTGTTTTACCTGATATTCAGTCTTGCGAACCCGTGAATCAAGGAAAAGACGCAACGGATGGACTTGGTCACAATGAGCCTCAGGTCGGAGAGTCACCAGATGCAATAAAAGCCCGGTCGAAAGAGCCACACGAACGGTCCACTCGAGCAGTTGAGGTCTGTCTAGATTTTCAACGACCAGTTGATGGGAAATTCACTCTGCTATTCAATCACACAAACTCCGGAATGTCGGTTGTCCGGTTCAGATTTGGGGATGAGACACGGGCACGCTAGAGGAGGCAAAGGCTTACCCACAATCGAAGCACTCTGCATAAAGATGAAAAATATATCACTGCACTGATAATGCTTAATGTCATAGTAGTTGAGGATACAAGGATCAGGACGATGATATTGAGATACTTGCCGCGAGGATTGATCATTAGTGAATTGTATATGGAATCGACTGTGGTGGGGAGACCCTAGCTTTGTCCCCCAGGGGAACGATTTACTATGTAGAGTGTTGAAAGCGTAGTTGATTGACTTGTTCTTAGGGGCAGCATCTGAAGCTATCCAAGGAGAGGCCATGTATCGTTACACAAGAAGCAATGTTGGGGAGCCTCTGACAGTAGCGGAGACATCAGCTACAGAACCTGCTGAACAGTTACGTTCTATACTGATCATTATACACAATATTACCGATGTCTTCGCCAATCAGCGGCCTAGTTCCTGCGTCTACCTCCTGGTCTGAAGATTCGCGGTAGTAAGAAGCTAGGGCCGAGCGTCAAAACCTCCGAAAACCCCTCTGAAGGCAAAGGCACGAAGCTCCTCGAGATAATTTTTATTGAGGAGGTGCAACCTTGGTCGGCGGGAGATTGGTCGTTGAGTTGTGATGGCCGAGGAGGATATGGCGGTGGTTCAACGGTTCACCATCTCACCACAACCGCTCACCACATCACCGTATCCATCACTCGCATCTAAATCACGTTGGATGCGAACAGGCTCTTCCGCTACAGACACCCTCACATTGATTACGATTCACTTCACCCTGTGGAAATGATCAGTAACCTCGCCATCTCGGAACCGCAAAGCTTTTAGGGATACTAATAAAGCTTCAACTCAATTAGATTTGTAAACTAAAACCATTATACCGCTTTCATTAAAGATTACTGGTCATTGTAACGATAGGGGATCATGAGGGGCAAACACCCTCAAGAGTATGCGACCACAGGACGTTAAAACCACAGGAATGAACTTCCTCAGGGACAACTTGATACCGTACTAAAAGGCAAATTCCCTCAAGGGATTTCTACCACAAGGGTGGAATCCCACATGGGCGCACGACCCTGGGCTAGGGCCGTCCCTGTGGGTGGCGTGTCCCTGAGGAATAGTTATCCCACGGTCATATGCTCCACAAGTTCCCACATCCTTGGGCGGGGAATCCCCTGAGGATATTTGCCCTCGAGTATCAAGCCACCTTAAGGTACGTTGGACTTGTGTATTATTCGTCACAGGGACGACATATCAAGTAGATTTTTAAATGAAGGACCGCTGATGGTGCAGCTAAAAATTTCGGTCCATCAGAGTAAACACACCCAGAAATCGCTCCCGCGCCACGTCTACATCGTCGACATTCCGCTTGCAAAGCTAACATCAGTACGTGCTGTTCACAGTTCCCACATTCCTCAAGCAATGGCGTTTCGATATATAAGTCGAGAAGATCTTTGACAAATTCGGGTACGCTTTTGAGGGTATACGACACGGCCGGGAATTACGTTAGTCTTTGCAGTTAGTCATCATACAATCATTCCAAGTGACCTCAAGGGAAAATAAAATAACGTACCAGACCTATCTAGGTAGTTAGGTGTCTTGTGAGGAATAGGATCTTTGCACGAGGCAAACTAAAGTGCCATCGCCCACAGAATCTGCAATGATCATTGGCTAAAAATTGCCAAGGGGGCCGACGTAGATGTCTGACACGGTATTCATAGGTACAACGCCTGCATGATCCTGGACGTATAGAATGTAGCATCCCCACAGATAATCACTCTCACCTTAAAGGACATCCATTCTACACCATCAATTAAAGTCTGTGGTTTGATTATACCAGCTGCATTATATGCCTCATATTTTAATATTAACTGTATGTAAAGTCCTCGAATTTTAAGCGCAGCATGACCATTTCTCTGCGACTTCATCCCTAAAATCTAGCCTATCGAAGAACACAAATATTACCGTTGCTGATATGGCCGAAACTGCGACAAGGACACTGGAGTACGCATCTTTAGTGACTAGTGTTTCCAAGCAGAGAAATACTCAGAGACATACCTCATGGCAATCTGAAACCTCCATAGGAATAATAACTTCTCGCAAGAGCTCACGTACTTTTGGGGGTCCCCAAGTGCACCATATGAACCCTGAATCAATAAGAACATCGATGGTGAACCATACGGCACATTGTCCGAGTCCTGCCAGAGCTCATCATTCTGACAAGAATTCAGGGGCCGAGGCAAATATCTGGATTCAAAGTAGACCGGAGGAATAAAAGTCGCTGCGATAATAGATTTGGCAACCGCGACTATAAACCACCAGGGTCGTTTAGTTCGCCAGTACCAGTGGTGAGGTATCCATGTGAGGAGTATCCATCCGAGAGCTATAGCTACCTTTCAGACGAAATCCTAAGTATCCAAATATCATATAAAACGAGGGATTGAAATAAGAAGGTCTGCCCAAACAGAAATACATACTGGTATAAAAGGTGTGTTCGTCCCAGCTCTGATCCATGGACTGTATGGAGGTTGAAGAACACGCGGTGTATTATAAACCTTTATTCGGAACTCGCACAACAGGCCCGCTAGAATAACCAAGGGAGGGATATAGAGGTAGAACCAGATATTAACGAATTCATAATACACGAGCGACCTGAGGAACTGGCCCTTCTTGGTGATCTGGGTGTCATTCATAGTCTCCGTGAGGGCGTGAAATCAATTTTGTTTCTGAGATAGTTGTGGCATAGGCACTGTTCTAGCCACTGGTGTTCGAAGAAAGGAAGAATTTGCTGGAACCAGCGCGCTCAAATGCTTCACTGGAGTGGCTATGTTCCCCGCTAAGCCACGTATCCTCGTATCCTGAATTAGCAAACCTTATGATCTAAATGAACACGAGGGTTTGTCACGGACTCTGTAACGAGAAACAACATCGTATTGTGATTTTGTTGATCGAACTGCGGCGGGAATGACAGCTCCTAGAAACAGGTTGCCAGAGAGGCTTCGCGGCCTACTTCCAAGGTCCTCAGCCGTCCTCTATCCAGGTACCTAGAGGGACTCTATGCATGACCTTCCACCTCCAGGCCTTCCTACCCGCTTCTTGGATCCAAATTCGAATACTGTACGTTGTATTTATACTCTTCTGAGGAATGAAGCTATTTCTAGTGCGAGTGAAGTTGAAGCGTCGTCCCTGTTTCCTAGATACGGATATATATCAGCAGCTACTAGGGTTGCTCCGCACTGCTGAGATCGAGCAGTTTCCATGGAAACGCCGAGCGCCAGCCTTGATTGCCAGCGGCCCAGTCACAGATCGACCCACACAACTCGTTCGAAACCGTAGTCAAGGACACTATCCCAGTCGGATTCACGTAGTACTGTCGTTTGAAAATGTGCGGTTGGCCCGCCTTCGCGGTATTCGACTAGAAAGCTCCCGTAGTTCGGATCCGCATTCAACATCACCTGGATGAAGTCGCCATAGTCGGAAACGGGGTTAGAGCCCAGCCGCTCCACGATGACGATGTTACACGATAGGTTCATGTCCGCGAGCAAGTCATGGAGCTGTTCCTCAGACGGATCGTCTAGAACGCGGACACCGTCGGTTGCACGAATTTTAAACATGGCCAGGGCTGTGACACAATGATGGCTAGACGACGATGATGATAGAAAGGGAAACACCTAGCGGAGACAAGATCTCGGTGTAGAGGGACAGAGAAAAAAAGGAGGCAAGGTGAGTAAGAGTAGCGTAATTCCCGGCCACCCCAACCTCCTTAACCAAACATATGTCAGCAGGGACCTAGGATCTTAGAGTGGCCATGCCTACTGTCAGGGGATGTTCGTGCGGGTGGTTTATTCTGTTATAATCGGCTAGTTGGTTTTGGTCGCAAAGATTATTCTAGGTAGTTGCAGGGACCCACTTTGGTAATGCGGTGTCCGTTTTGCACCATAGATATTTTCAAAACACATATCAGCATGTTCAGGGCTTTAAGTTAACAAGAGACCGGTTAGGCTCAAAAACTTTGTAAATGTATATATGTTATCACCAGAACAAAAAATATCGGGATTTAGTCAAGAAAGTTCCAGAGGAGGATGGCTAACAGTGCTGGTTGGGTGCAGAATAGGGGGCCGTACAGAGCGGCGAGTGGTCAAGCGGCGGCTCGCCGTCCAAAATTACGGGTGGAAAGGCATTTACATCGATAACTGGAGTAACCACGGATTGGATTTGAAGAACGTCTAGGTGGACTTTTGAAGGGATGGGATACTACCTTAGATGCAAAATAACCCCATTTTTATCAAATAGTGCAGTTAGGTGGGCTCTACTCTTATGAATAAGCAGACCTGCTGTATAACTAGTTAGATGCTGGCCAGGTTTATAACCGCGACAGATATCGAATACACAGGTTCTAGGTCATTGATCATAGTACATTGAATAATATCTCAAATTACTCATGAATCTTAGATATCTTGAGACACATTCTACTAAAGTGAGGTTGTGAAAACTTAATGGGATGAGCATTGTCTGCTGTCACTACTCCCATTTGTGAAGCGGCCGGCACACTCACTTGCGGAGCAGGTTCCAGGGATGAGCGATGGGGCTACCCGTTGTCCAGCTTCCTCCTCTTCAATCAGATCCTCCTGTCTCGTCTCTCTCGCTGAAACTCAAGGAAGAGTCGAATCTTCTCCTCCTCGCATACTCGCTGCTTGCGATTAATGCATATCGGCCCCTCCACTTCAAGCTTCAACCCGCGTTGTGGTCTGTGCGGCCCAGCCACCGACCTCCGACCGAGCTCCGCTTGATCGTCGAGCACATTCGTCATTGCGGTCAGTAATCACCTCCACACCTGCGTTGACAACCCTCCCATATCCGCTATCCGCCACGCGCAACCACTCACGAGTGGCGATCTCCAGATGTCCCTTTTCGGCACATCGCCAGAAGAGCCCTCTGCGGCGGCCTCTACCCCGAGGCCCAAGTCCTCACTTTTCGCCGACGACTCCATCGGTGGCTCCTCGTCCCTCTTCGCGGATGACACCGGCGACGACAGCTCCTCGTCACCCTGGAATCCCCAGAATAATACGGCGAAGCGCACAGCCCGACGGGACCTAGTCCGCACGTTGCTCCCTGTTTCTGATGTGCCAGAGAGCTACGTTGATGCCTACGATCTCATCTTGAATAGCGGAGATAGGGTGGGGGCTGGTGTCGGCCTCACCTCGATTCGAGAGCTCTTGTCCAGTAGTGGGCTGAGCGCATCAGACCAAGGCAAGATTTTGAATCTTGTGGTCTCGGGTGACCACGAGAGCGCGGGTGGATTGGGTCGCAGCGAGTTCAATGTGTTGCTAGCACTGATCGGCCTTGCGCAGCAAGGAGAAGACCTGTCTTTTGATTCGGTTGACGACCATCGCAAGAGTGAGTAACATGAGCGAATGAGCTTTACTCCAAGGCGAGACTATAGTGCTATTCGTGCTTGGTTTCCGCTTATCCTGACCACACCAATGCTGACCAGACAATCGACATGTAGGACTCCCGCAGCCGAATAGCGGCTTCCTCGATCGACTACGAACGATGAACGACTCCCAATCTAGTGGTGCATTTGAACGACCAGTTACACCCCCGGCACAGCCATCTCTAATCCAAGAACCCAATTCCGCACGGTCTCGCCGCTCGCGACGGGAGTCTCTAGGCGGCCTCGATTCTGATCCTTGGGGAAGTCCGGAGTTGCATCGGAACCACAACCATGGATCTCTTGCCTCTGATCAACGGATTGTAAATGGATACGGGAGTATGCGCTCCACGTCCAACGCTTGGTCGACATCCAGGGCCGTTGAAGAGACACACCAGAGCAACAATGAGGTCCCACAGCAGGGTCGCAGCGTAGCTCCAGCTGAGACAGCGGCACTGCCGCCACCCAGCAGTTCAGGATCTGGATGGGGAGGTAATATTGGAACTACCTCGGATGAGGGCGGATTTGCAGGTGCTCCGCGACCGGGCCTCGGTGGCTTTGGGCCTCCTAGCGATGAGCCTGGGGATATCGCACCTCGGCGTCGATCCATAGGTATCACCCGTACTACGAACCCTCAGGTAGCAGAGACTGTCACGATCACCCTTCTGCCCGAGAAAGAGGGAATGTTCATGTTCCAGCATCGCAACTACGAGGTCAAGTCAGCGCGCCGAGGCAGCACCGTCGTGCGTCGGTACAGTGACTTTGTCTGGCTGTTGGATTGCTTACAAAAGCGATTCCCATTCCGACAGTTGCCCCTTCTCCCACCGAAGCGGGTTTCAGGTACGTTTCGCGCTGGTTAAAGCACCTCCAATTTGCTTGCTCACCTTTCTGAAAGTGAATGGTACTCACCTATCAGCGGATTCAAACTCTTTTCTGGAGAAGCGGCGCCGTGGACTCATTAGATTTACCAATTCCCTTGTTCGCCACCCTATCCTTGGCCAGGAGCAGCTGGTCGTGATGTTCCTGACTGTCCCTACTGTACGTCTCGCTGCTTACTCGCGATTTATCCTATCCTTCATTGGACAAAAAGACCTCTGACCTGTCCTCCAGGAACTTTCGGTATGGCGTAAGCAGGCTACGGTCTCGGTCCAGGACGAATTTGAAGGCCGAACCCTCCCACCTGACCTCGAGGACTCATTGCCCGCCGATCTCAACGATACCTTTGAAACCGTGCGCAGCGGTGTGAAACGCTCCGCCGAAATCTATATCAACCTGTGTACTCTGCTCGAGCGATTGGCCAAGCGAAATGACGGGCTTGCGGCTGATCACCTGCGCTTCTCCCTGGCTCTGCAGTCTCTGACCGAGGTGACAAAGGACACGTACGCCGTCGACACTAATGATATTCCAGGCCTGAACTCTGGTATCACCGCCACTGCCCGACACCTTTCGGCCAGCCAAAGCCTGTTGGAAGATGAGGCCCGGGCCTGGACCGACGGCGTGTTGGAAGATCTCAAGGCACAGCGAGACTGCCTGGTCAGCGTACGTGAGATGTTTGATCGGCGGGATCGGTTGGCGCGGAACAATATCCCACAGCTCGAGCGGCGCATCGAGACCAATGAGCGCAAGCTACAGGACTTGCGGGCTCGACCGTCGGGCACCGTGAAGCCTGGCGAGGCCGAGAAGGTGGAGGACTCCATTTTCAAGGTATGTTGCATGCCCCACAGTGGCCCCTGCCGCGAGCTGTTCCTTGCGAGAAAATTTAAAATCTAATCCCGGTCATGGTGCAGGACAAAGAGTCGATTGTGCAGCAGCACGCGCGGGGGGTGTTCATCAAGGAGTGCATCCGTGACGAACTTGCCCACTTCCAGCAGAGCCAGTACCACATCAGCCGTCTGCACCAGGACTGGAGCCAGGAGCGAGTCAAATACTCCGAGTTGCAGGCGGATAATTGGCGGGGGCTCAGTGATGAGATTGAGGGAATGCCGACTGGAGAGTAGCCGGGCCAGAATTAGTCTTTTCTTTCTTCCATTCTCTCCTAGGGAGACTGTGACTGGGATCGTCGTACATAAACCTGAAGGAATCAGGCCCCGGCCCAGGCCACGGCCCAACCCCCGACGTGAGGTTTGTTCTTTTTCTTCTACACGCGCGGGGTGCGCGTGGGCCGCACCCGACTTTGGGTTAGTGAAGAGCTTGGCTGAAATGTTTTGCTTTTTTCCTCACGATGCTCTCCGCCATGTGGACGGAGTAGCGGAGAGCCTGATGGTGGGCCTGGACCCTTTTGCATCCCTGGACTTTGCGGTGGTTTGAAAATCGCCTGAAACCACTTTCTACTTGTTTGTCGATGCTTCGTTGTGTATCTTGGGATTTACCGCGGTTTGCGCTTGTGTATCTCTTTCTCAATTCCCCCCATTTTGTTTTATTGTATTTAGGTTGTTTTGCTGTTGCAGTTGATATACTCCAAGAACCATATCCATGTCTTTCAGGGCGGTGTGCTTTGGGTACACTTCAGGTATAATCAATCGGAGGTGTATAAGTTGTGTATGCTTTATGTAGTTGATCTATCGACTGCTTACTAGAGACTGTATTACGCTCGTCCGTGCCGGTAATTTGTATTAGTACGATGACGTCCATGAACCAGCCGTTCTTCCAGAAGACCCCGCAATCAGCAGCAGCAGTGGACCTGATAGTGGGCCGTTATTCAGATCAGACCAATGAAGGCGAAAAGGAGAGTATGCTGGGCTTGGCGGTTGGCAGGGCTGGAAGGGCGCGGACCTTGGCCGCATGCGTATTGTACGGTAAATCGGATACGCCATGTGCCGCCGATTTGGGATGTCTGAGTCTCCGAGAGTATAAACACTCCTGGGCATCTGCATCCGAAACACGGCTTTGCTGCCATACTTCCATAATCATTTTTTTTCTCAATTGTGGTTATTGACACCTTTTCCACTCGCCTCTCCCTCTCAATTACCCCTTAGACCGACTGTGTCTCCCAACCGCGCCCTGCTCGCTCCGCCCGGCCAAGACCCCGTTCCGCCCGGCCAGTGGGGCCCGAAAGTCTCGGCTGGCGAATCCCGCCGGTTCCAACGAGACTGTCCTTTCTGGGCAAATCTCCCTCGGCGCGCAATCGCTGGCTCTGTCCATCGGCCAAGAGTCCCCCAAGACTCTCTTCTTTCTCTCTCGCCTGGCACTCCTCTTCGCCTTTTTCTTCCTTTTCTTCTTCTCCTCACCAACCACTCCTGCCTCTGCCTGCATGAGACACATCGCGGGCTGGTCTCGTTGAATTCTCATCCGTGCTCCAACAGCCAACGAGCAAACGCCGCCAAACGGTCCCCAGCCTCCCTCTCCACTTCTCGAACACCCGAATACGCTCGGACAGCCACGCAGCTCTGGTGCCGTTTCCGAAATCCCCGAGCTTCTACTTAGGCGGACACGGCTTGCTACCGACCGTGCTGACTGCTCGAATCCTGCCTTATCGGGCCCGACGACTGTCTCATCTCCACTCCGATCATACTCTCCCCTCAAGGCATGAGGAGCTACTCGGATCAACGACGTTTGAGGCGGAAATCCAACTGGTAATTGAATTGCCGTGGTTCGGGGTAAGAGAACAAACATACAAGTGGAGGAAGACCAGAAACGACAAACGTACCATCGTACCTACCTTATCGCAGACAATCTACAACACTTTTTGAGACCCCCGCGGTCTCCATCTCGCCATGGCATGGGACCACCTTGATTTCGATCGGCCGCATCTGGCTTACATGATTCTCGGTGGCTTTACGGGCCTGTTCATGCTGTGCTCGCTTTTCGTGAAAGAGAAGCTCTACATTGGCGAAGCTACCGTCGCTACACTCTGCGGTATCATCTTCGGACCACATGCAGCCAATTTATTTAACCCCCACGACTGGGGTAACGTCGACAAAATTACCTTGGAATGCTCGCGCATTGTTCTGGTTGTACAATGTTTCGCCGTCGGCGTCGAGTTGCCCAAGGCGTATATGGAGCGCCACTGGAAGTCGGTCAGCTTGCTGTTGGTTCCTGTCATGACTTGGGGCTGGTTGATTACCAGTCTGTTTATCTGGTGGATGGTACCCACGCTCAACTGGCTGGAGAGTCTAGTATGTGCGGCTTGCGTCACGGCCACCGATCCTGTCTTGGCATCGTCCGTCGTTGGTAAGGGTAAGTTCGCCAAGCGTGTGCCCAAGCATTTGCGTGACCTCTTGTCGGCTGAATCCGGTTGTAACGATGGAATGGCGTTCCCATTCATCTACCTGGGATTTTATATCCTGCGTTTCAGACCCGACGCTAGCAAGGTCTCGCTGAACTGGTTCGTTGTGACCATCCTCTACGAGTGTATCTTCGGCGCTATCTTTGGCTTCCTCATTGGATACGCTGCTCGTCACGCTATCAAATGGGCCGAGCGCAAGAGTTTGATTGATCGAGAGAGTTTCCTCGTGTTCTACTTCGTGCTGGCCGTCTTCTGCGCCGGCGCAGGTAGTTCACTGGGCATGGACGATCTGCTCATCGGATTCTCTTGTGGAGTCGGCTTCAGTAATGACGGTTGGTTTACGGAGAAAACCGAAGAGTCGCACGTTTCCAACGTTATTGACTTGTTGCTCAATTTGGCATACTTTGTCTATTTCGGATCTATCATCCCCTGGGAACTCTATAATGCCCCTGATCTCGGCCTGACTCCCTGGAGACTGGTCGTTATTGCCATCTTGGTCATCTTCTTCCGTCGCATTCCCATTATGCTTTTACTCAAACCGATTATACCGGATATCAAAACTTGGCGTGAAGCGCTCTTCGCTGGTCACTTTGGTCCTATTGGTGTCGGTGCCATCTTTGCTGCCATTCTTGCGAGAGCGGAACTGGAACATGATAGTACACAGCCGCTTCCTGAAAGTGATCTCAACGCGTCTTCATTGGAATACCCGGCGGATTATGCTGTCGTTCAGCTCATCTGGCCTATTACGACGTTCATGGTTATCTCGTCTATTTTAGTCCACGGCTCATCTATCGCCGTGTTCACTCTGGGCAAGCGCATTAACACCCTGACAATCACCCTGTCCTACACCCAAGCCAACGAGGAAGGCCCATCATGGATGAACCGTCTTCCACGTGTTCAGTCCTTGGCCAAGGGATCCATGTCCTTCCGCAAGGCTGATGAGCTTGATGAGGGCTCTTCCGATGAGAGACTGCCTGAGTACCCCCCAGGTACGTTACCACCCATCGGCATGCCTGGAAACTTCTTGCGCCGTGTCCGTGAGGAAGATAGCGAAACCCAGAGTACCCATTCAGCAAATCTGAGGTCTCTTCGTCGGAAGGGCCGCAAGCACACTGATGCTGGCGGTCCCATCAGCCAGTCTGCCATCATGCCCCAGCGCCGGACAGAGAGCGAACTTGAGGCCGAATCGAAGGAGGAACTCGAAGAACGGGATCGTGTGGATCGTGGATCTTCACCTCCTACTGCTGAACGGGATCGCTTTGGACGCGAGCCCCAGCTGGAGGTCTTCCAAGAGGGTCATCACATGATCATCGAGGACGAGGAGGGCAATGTGCTCAAGACCGAAGATACTAGCAACCTGACTCCTGAAGAACTGGCCCGTCACATCGAGGAACAGCGCAAGCGACTCGAGGAGGACCGGTCTGGAGAGCTTGCTCCATCTCGAAACCAGCCTCACGAGAAGACAGAGGGCGAAGAGATTCAACAGGCCATTGGCGAACAAACTGGTCATCCCGTCGAAAAGGCACGGTCCCGTTGGACCAACTGGACCGGCTTTGGAAAGGAGAAGGCAGAGGAAGCAAAACCAAAAGCCAAGCCCAAGCTTTCCGAAGGCGAGAAGCAGAAGGCGCGCTCCGCTCATGCCTACCAGTTCGGCAACACTATTATTGTTGAGGATGAGGACGGCGAGGTGATCAAGAAATACACCATCCCATCGGGCGAGAAGCCCGCCAAGCCCAAGCCCAAGCCTGAAGAGCAGCAGCCTGTAAAGGACCAAGCACCTCTCCGAACAGGTCTGAAGCGTATGGGAACCTGGTTCGGCAAGGAAGAAGAGGGCGAGTCCTCGCAAGCCGGCCAGAAGAAGAAGCCTGCACCTCGCACGGAGACCGACGACTGGGCTACAGATGACGGTCTGCGTTTCACTCTTGCCCAGAACTCAGAGGTCGACTCCCAAGGCATCGGCCACAAGGGTCGCCGTATGAACAAGCACGAGTTCTTCCAGCAGATCAAGGGCCTGGACGCCAAGGCCCGCCGTGATGTGGTCCAGCAAACCGACGCCCCTGCGTCCGTCAAAGAAGCCGCCCACGAAGACGTCAAACAGACCGCAAAGCAAGAACGCCGTCTCTCTGTCGCCGCCGCAAGCGCCGCCACGGGCGCAATCCCCGAGGAAGAAGACGAGGCGCTCGTATCTGAATCCGTCACAGACAGCGACATCAGTGACGAGGACGAATCTGCCGGTGAACACCAAGGCCCCAACGTTGCCACGTCCCTGGCCAAATTCACCCGCGGCAGTTCCGCGCAAGAACGCCGCAGCAACCTCAGCCCGGCACCACGCACTCGCGACCGTCGTCGCCGTGACTCGGACGACGATGGCACGGAGCGCATCCCACCTTCACGTCTGCGTCAAGAAGCCGGTCTAGCCGCACCACCACGACAAGCCGACGATGACACCGGGGAGACCCCTGCCGAACGACGTCGTCGTCTCGCCGCACTGGGCGAGATCCACAACGACGATTCCTCTGACTCAGAAGCCGAGGCGGGAGCTGCCATTGCCGAGTCCGATAGCGAGGATAACGGTGAGCCCCGCCAGCCGCAAGGTAAAGTGCAATTCGCCGAAGCTGCCAGACCCGCTGCGCAGTCTAGTCCCGGCGAACAGCAGTCTTCCTCGTCTGGTTCCGGCTCTGGGTCTGGAAAATTCACACCCGGCCATCGACCACGCATCTCATGGGGCGGCGAGAAAGGACGTGATCATTAAACCCAATGATCCCTGTCTATGACTCTCGTCTCGCCTCCTCGTATATCTGCATTTCATGTACATGAACACCCTTTGCTTCGCATTACTATCACCCACCTATTTCATGTACTTTCTTCGCTTCCCCCTTCTTGTTCTTCCTTTCCTCCCGCTTGTGCATAGTACATTTCTAGCTCCGAGGATATAATGACCAAAAGGAACGATGTTCGATATGATGGGTCTTCCATGGCTTTTCTTTTTCACGATTGTTATGGACTTTTGCTAGAGCAGAGCGAGATCATTCATACAATGCATTTGGATTTTGTGTATATTCAATTTATGCTCTTGCGTTACCTCGTAGATACCAACAGCATGTTGTATGTCTCAAGATTGAATTAGATGGAAACCTGAACCATTTGGAAATGAAAAGTATGCGTAGTTGGTCGAACCCGAGGTATCAAAATGAAACAAATAAAAGGCTGCTCTACTCTACAAACCCCCTGAAGCGACTATACCAAATGCTCCCCAGCAATCCATTACCCTTCCATCGTACTAGAAGCCCTCATCACCCCCTCCCAAAGAACTCACTCACAACACCAAACCGGTCTTTCGACCTAGTCAACTCCGCCTTGAACAGATCATGCTGATCCGCCGATTCAACCTGCCGCTGGCGGATAGCTCGCAGCGTAGCATTTGTCGGTGCGCAGACGGGGCATTGGGCATCCTCGTCGACACGGTTGAGACAGCGCTCGTGGAAGGAGTGGCGGCAGAGGAAGTGGATGGTGGGTAGGTCGAGGGTTCCGCCGCAGGATTGGCAGCGGCGAGACTGGAAGACGACGGGCTGGGTGGCGAGGTTGTTGAGTTCTTGTTGTTTGGAGGCTGTTTCGGATTTATAGCTTGCGATCAGGCGTTGGTTCTATGATAAGGTCAGTGAGAAGGGTTCATGGGAGATGGAGGGATTGAAGTGCGTACCGTCTTAATCTGCTTGTCTTCGCTGGCGATGTTGTCGCCGAGATACTTCTTGAGTCGGCCCATCGTGACAACGGCGTTGTTGCTGACAGCTTGGATTACCTGCAAGGGGGAAAGAAGGCCATCGTCATGAATGCGTTGCAGGACTTTGTCTAGCTCGTCACCTGCTTCCTCTAGGATCTGAGGGCTGGAGGCAAAGTATGTCAAGGCGTCAATATAGAGCTGAGGTTCATCGGGCCCATATCGTCGTAGTGCTTGGATTGCGCCTTGTGTGTCCTTTGCAGATGTGAATGAACGGAAGATGTCGAGCCGCAGGCCTTCTTGCTCACGGACAAGCGTAGAACCTTCTCGGAAGTTTGATAGATCAGAGAGAAGAAGCACGTTAGAGGTAGATATTGGAATCTAGGCGTGTTAGTCAGGGGGAAAGAGAAGGGTTTTCAGAGCGCATACGTCTTTCCCTTCGATGAGCTTTTTAGCTTTTCCCTCCCACTCTTGCTTTTGGGCCGGATCTTTTGTAGTCTTTGCGGCATCCACATACATCTCAAATAGTGTTGTAAAAAGGTCCACCTTAGCGTCTTGTTTCAGCCCAGGCTGTTGCACAAGTGTCTCTAGAAAATCGACAAAGTTCTGCGGGTGATCTACAAACGCCGAGAATGCCGTCCGTGGCTTCGGGACTTCATATTGCGGTGGCAGCTTCGTAGTTCGCTCCTCTTCAGCAGGGGCTGTCTCCGTTTCCGGACCTTGGGTCCGCGAGGCAGAGCCTCCGGTCACGTATCGTAGTGGGAGAAGTCCAGCAAGACTTTGAACTGCACTTGCTGGCTGTGCCTGCGGCTCTGGCGGTGATTCCACCGTGGTTCGCGGTCGGTATTGGCCCGTGTAGTATACCTTGAAGAGCTCGGTCGTCTTCTCGGGGCAGTGGGTCAGAAGTACCCGTGCATACTTCATCAAGTTGGGATAAGCCTGGGGAGGTTAGTATTGACTATTATGCAACTGTACATCAAGACATCGCATACCACTTCAGGATCTAAACGCCATATATACTCCACGGCCTCGGCGTATTTCTTCGAATCTTCGATCAAAATATCAACAACCATGTCATTCTCGCCGTGCTTCGTGGCTAGGAACGCTGCCTGCTCAAAGTATCCACCTTGGCGACACATGGCGATAGCCGTTTCAAGATCAAACTTGAGCTCACCAGGAGCTTTGATGAATGAGTCCAGCTTGGTGGTATCCTTCAGCTTTGCATAGCAATTCAAGAGGAGGGTAGTGTGGTCCACTGTCGCACGTCCATGATCGTGAAGCTCCTCAAGGTATTCGATCAAGTTATGAATTCGTTGTGTGTCCAGGTACTGAATTGAGTTCAGCGGCAATCTTTTCGAACAATGGGACGAAACTCACCTTCCGAATAACTTGTGACGGCTCAGTATTGTCAATTGCCCTAAGGTATTGCTGCATAGCCGTGTCATAGTCACCACGCTGATATAAGAAGTCACCGTATTTGCGGTAGATAGCGTTCTGCTGCAATGGATCAATCCCAATCTTCTGTGCAAGATTAATGGCTAAAATGTAGAGATTGCGCTCATAGAGAATTTCCAGCCTTTGCTGGAGGCTCTTCTCGCGATACCGGAACACCTATCAGATGTTAGCGACGGACAAACACTGACAAAAAGGTGGTAACAAACTTTTCCATCTGTTGTGAGTAAGAAGAGATCGCCCCATTCTATGAAAATGTGCTTCATCGGGGACACGAGCGACTCGCTGTACGCGATAAACTTCAGATCGGTATCAAGCAGAGTGAACGTCGTCGTGCCAAGTATCTCGTCTGCAGGATTGACACCATACTTGCGCAACGGATCGCCTTTAGCAGAGCCCGCTTTCGGCGGACAGACCAGAGCCACATAGTCATGGAAGGCATTGATAGACGTCTTCGGGCTCTCAAATGCATAGCTCGGGCCTCGACCCCGAGATCCATAATTGTAAATCGCATCCTCTCTAGCAATGAGAATTTGGCCCGTCTCCTTATCCAGCGTCATGCACCCCAGGGCGCAACCGGTATCTTCCAAAACACGCGCAGGCTGGCCTTGTCCCCGTCCCGCGATAACAAGGGTCAGGATTCGGCTCGTCGTTGAAATATAAAGGACAGTCACGGCGCCATGCTGCGTTTCAAGACCGGTAATTGGCTCCTCCGACTCGAAGACAATGCGCTGTCGCGCACCGCGATCGTGAATCAGATCGCCACGAATGATAGTCACCGACCCATTCGCGAAACCGACTGCTACCTGCGAGAGATCGTCCACAACTGCAAAGGCTGATATCTGCGATACCCATTAGCTCTCCTAATCTCCCTCCTTATCATCCTGAGGGATAGCGCACCGGAAACTGCCTCCGCGCATTCTGCACCGACACAGTCGACAAACACTTCGGTCCACCGTCTTTCTTCTCCGTATCGAGGGCCCACACTTTGAGCACCGGTTCATTCGACAGATCCTCCGCTACGGTCACAAGCAAGGACGTCCCGGCGATCTGTTTCATATGCGTGATGGACCCAACATCATGCGCCTTGAACGAGCGCAGCACGCGGAAGGACGAGGAGACGATGTGCACAAAGCCATCGACAGTGCCGAGGAAGAGGTTCGCCGATCCGGTGCAAAGGCTAGATAGGTCGGTCTGCGGATGTTGTCAGCTGTCAAAGAGGTGTCAATGTGAGAGTGGTGGAATGGGGGTCTTACCCCGAACAGCGCGGAGCTGTCCTCTGGTAATTTGACGGGGACGACGTCGATGAAGTTGAACGCTTTCCACTGTAGTAGTGTTAGCTATGTATCGAATGGCAGTATCTTGGGAATTCCATACTGATGTCAGTGCCATTTGGGCTGCTGGCCATGCGTGGTGGGCATTGACGTCGGAGACGGAGCTGGCGATGGAGGCCGCCTGGAGCTTCCCCCGCTGGGCGCTCGGGCCACCTGCGCCTTGGTTCCTGCGGATCGACAGTCTACAATCGACAAATCTACAAACGTATAAAGATCAAAGACAAGACACCAGGGTCTCAAGCAACACAGTCCATCTTATATTAAGATCATGAGATAACTTCGTAGCAATCGTAGCAAATCCTCGCTCAAAGCGCATTGTTCATATCGTCAACGTCAAAGCAATGGGGGAATCAGTGTAAACCCAACAACACGCTATGCTAGCAATAATTTATGCAACCGAAATCATAACGACAAACTATATCCAAGTTCAAAAGGAAAAGAAAATTGAAGCTGTGACCAACTATGTTGGTCTTGCAGGCTGGTTGGAACGTCTGATGTCCTTCATAAAGTCGAAACTCTGCTGCAACCAACTACCAGCGTCCGCGATGGCCTGGCTGAGGTCGAAACTTTCTGTGCCCTGGGGAGCACCTTGTCCATCCTGGGCTGTCGTGGGCGTTGATCCACTCAGAGCAAACGGCAGGAGGGTCCCTTGCGTGGTCGAACGGTGGGTAGTGGTAGGATCTGGGCCCTGATCAGGGTCGTGGGGACTCGAATGGGCTGTGTGATAGTCGTGGTCCTGAGAAGGCGAGGGCATCCTAGGTGAATGGGCTAGGCGATCCGTGATGCGAGGCTCTTCAGATCTGTTCTCGCCGAGATTATCGGGCGAGAGGTCTCGGAAAGCCTTTTGCTTCTTTTCTGTGCTGAAGGTATACGGAGTGACGGCATCGATCATGCATTGCGTGCTCATAGCCTGTATCCTGTCTTTCGACAACCTCCGCAAGCTAGGATTTAACAGTCCTTCGGAGGCCTGCGGACCATATGGTGTTTCATGTGCCAGGAGTGACTCCTCGTCAGGCCCTAACACGGTATCATCCGGTTCTGCGGGTTGGATGAATTCAGGCTCGGGGCTTTCCAAATCCTCCTGGAACGACCTTTGGGCATGAAGCAAAGCGGCCTGCGTCGACAACTGTGTGTCCGAACTCTCTTCCGTATTCTGGTCCGGATTTGTCCTCGGCATTGCGGTCGAATGTAAAGATGGTATGCGATCTGAAACTCCTAGAGGAGCAGGTACATGTTGTGCAGACGGCAAATTCTCGTAGGTATTTTGCTCAGTCTGCAATTGGTTTTCTTCCTCAATACAAGTTGAAATACCTGCCTCATCGACGAATCTGAGGTCCTTTGACGTTTGGACGGGTTCATTTTCATTAGCACCGTTAGAACAGTCATTAGCCAAGGGTTCGTTCGGTTCCTCCGGACCGTCTGGCTCAACAACTGCGTCGTCTATTTGCTCGGTGACAACGGGCACGTCAGAATCCACTGGACAATTCATCTCAGCGTCAGAATCCACTGGACAATTCATCTCAGCGGAGGCATCATTTTCAGCGCCAGTAACGGGGGCATTCTCAAGTGTGCAAATTACAGGAGCTTCTTGCACTTCGGCGACAGTCTCTTTAGCAGACAGATCTTGCGGGATTTCTTCTTCGGCAGCGGTTGAAACAGGTGCAGGAACCTCGACAGAAGTATTCTGTACAGCAGAACCGATGTCTTTAACAGGAGACTGTTTTTGTGCCTTGGGGCTATTGTTCTCCTGATGCCATCGTCGATACTCAAACCGCGGCAACTGAGACGTTGAAGAAATAACACGAAACGATGATGCGGCCTGAGCATCGACACAAGGAGAACTCTGATGCGTTGTTGACTGCCCTGGTGCCAATATTTTCTCCGCAATCGGGCCACGACTCTGGTCCACCGGCGCCGTTAAACGAGGACATTCCGGCGAGATATCCATGCGCTCAGTCGCTATTGTCTCCTGACCGACTATAAGGCTTCTCGAACCCCTCATCCGTGAAGGCGTTGCGGGAACCCGCACCTCCAGAGTACGCAAAGTACCACCCCGACCTTTATTATCCGTCGGTCGAGATGCGATTTTTGGAGTCGGAGAGCTGGGAGGCTCAATTTGCGTGAAATTCGATCGTTTCCGGTCTTTCTTCAGCCAATCTGCCAGTCCGCCAGCAGCGAAAGAGTGGTCACTGGTGCGCCACGAGGACGTCGTCTCTTTCGGTTTCTTGATCGAACGTGGTGTCGTTCGATTTTGTTCGTCGCAGGTTGCCGCTTGCAGAGGCCGTTTCTGTGCTGATCGAGACGTAATCGGGGAACTGGCATTTGGAACCGGCGCACTCGGTGACTGTACTGTCCTGTGTGTAGCAGCTGGAGGATTCGGTGCAGCAACAGCTAAATCTTCGCGATACCTCGGATTGCGCAAGTCGGTCTCTTGTACGACGCGGCCTGCACTTTGTATAGCCCTCTTTCCGCGTTTCTTCGCCTGCTGATTAACGATAGCCCTGCGGTCCTTTTTCCACGGATTCCGCCACCCTTGATCAAACGGGCCCTTTAGCGAAGCAGAAAGAATGAACAACGGCTGGCCCTGGAGATATGACTCCGCCAGCTTCTCAATTCTCTGGCGTTTAGCCGCGCGCTCGGCTTCGGTGAGCTCATCGTCCGACGCTGGTAGCTCATCGCTCACTAAATCGTCCGCGGAAGGGTCGTATGTCTCAAGGCTGAATGGCGAGACGGCCCGGTGGTAGGGCATCGGGGCTGGATCTGGACTAGGCGTTCAAGGTTGAACTCGGCAATGCGATGTGGCTTCGGAGCTGCGGTGGTGGCACACTGCAGCGACGCAGCGGGATAAAATGGTGTGTTCAGGTTTCTCGTCATTTCTGAACGAGTAGAAGGAAGGTTGAGACGTTGCTGGCGCAGAGTTGGCGCCTGACGCGAGAAGCACTTAACGCGTTAAGGGTACCCCAGCAACGGCGGGGGATTATGTAACCGCCCTCAAGGCCGCAGTGAAGAAGTCGACTGCGTACGGAATATATCGGAAATTCCATGACGAAGCGAAACATGCACTGTAAATTTTGATTTCACAAAGAGACATGATAGAGGTCGTTTGTCTGAGAAATATGAATTTTATAGCGAGTCAACTATAACCTTACACAGCGGGCTGAATACACCATCCAGACATCTATACCAGAGTGACCGATAGAATAGAATGCAAGGACAATCGTATTCACACCAAGTCAAAATCTGCCAAATTCAGTGAAAATTAAAACAGATAGCTACAGTACCTAGTCCCCGTACAAATCTACCAAGTACATCAACAAACACGAGTACTCGCAAAGCGAGAGTAGAGGAACGAACTCGATTCAGTCAATCATCAGAAGCACACAACATTCAATACTCTCCAAAATATGACAACGCTAGCATAGTGCGAATACCCAAACTAGTAGAATAACAAAAAACACGAAAAAGACATAGCATGGCATTCGTCTATGATAGATTTGATCCGGGGGTATCGTATCAATATCGAAAGCAGGGGGTTGTGACCAACAATCAGACAGGCCAGACAGGCAACGAGGTCGACAACAATATAACAAGAATGGGATAGAACATTCCATCGTGACATGGACGAACTTGGGATAGATGGGATAAAAAATGCCTTGCCTGCCCTTGTCTTACCGTTTCCTTAAATCTTTAGTTGATCATGACACATCAGCGGGATAAGACGGAAAAAAAATACACATAAACATCAAATAGAAAAGATGGGGATTGGAAAACATCAAAGAAGAAAATAAAAATAAAAAAGGAATCATCATTAAGAAGTCATCATAATGGCATGCGAGCACGAATGCTCCGCACGCTCCTTCATCCGCATAGCCTGCGCCTCCAGCGAGCGGGCCATCAACTTCGTCACCGGCCACACGGCGGCTCGATCGAGCAGACTCGCCGTGGCAATCAATATTTTACACCCGTACCCGCCCTCGACGACGCTGGGCAGGCGCTGCATCACGCTCAGCGCAGACATGGAGTTGCTGTTCTGCACGGTGCGCTGCATTTTCGTCTCGATGCTTGATAGAATCTCGTTGATTTTGTCGATCAGCTTGCAGTCTTCGTCTTCGAGCAGCATCACCCCGGGAACCTGGGTTAGGTCGATGTCATCACGACCGAGGATACCCAGGTATGGGCCGACGCGTTCTTGGACGGTAGTGATCCATTCGGCGAGGACCTGTGCGCAGTCGAAGGAACACATTGCGCATTGGATGGGGAGCTCGCGAGATGAGAACTCCGCGAAAGTATTACCGAGGCGGTCGGACATGGAAATTGAGTCTGCGGCATAGAAAGCTGCTTTGCGAAGATGCTTCTCACGCTTGGATTGGCCGGTCTTGTAGACGCCGGAGAGAGATTGCATGGGCTGTTCTTGAGTCAGCGTTTGGGAGATGGCCAGCTCGCCAACGCCCAGGTCGTTCACGGACTCTCTCCTGGCATCGAGGGATCCGTTGAGGGATGGATCCAAAACGTCGTTGATAGGTCCATCGGCTTGGTGGAAGACCTCCGTTCCCCGCGCGAGCTCATCTGCCATTGCATTCCAATCACGTTGCCAGAAGGCTTCCTTGCATCGACCCAGGTTGACAAACAATCGAACATATGCCAGATCGAGTAGTGGGATGCTATCCGCAGACAACGGGCCCGCTCCAAATGGATTGGGTCTCTCCAAGCTGTGCACGGGGTTGCTCGCCCAAGCTGCCTGCCAAGCTCGCAATGCTGGTTCGATGTGTGATTGCATAGCCTCTGTTTCTTGGGCGGTCCATTGCCGGCCCATATGCCTTTGCCTCGTCTCCCAGATATAGTTGTGCAATGAGTATATGAGAACGAGACAGCCAAAGGTACTTGGCCGGTTCTCACCATTCGTTGGGTCATCCGTGCTACCGCCACTGAAGAACAAGTTTGACGACTTGTTCTGGTGTTCTCGTTGACTGGCAGTCAAAAGGGAAGTCAAAGCAGCCGAGAAAGACACATTGTTCTTGGTGGCTGTCTGTCCGCCCATCTTCTTCCAAGCCTGAGGCGACTCGGCCGCCCAGAGATCCTCCTCACAAGGAAGATCCAACCGAATTTCGGAGTTTGTGAGGGCGGGCGCATGGTTGTATGCTGAAACGAGGAAGCTGGAGAGGACAAAAATTGCGTAGAGTGTACGCTTCCGCTCCTCAACCACCTTCCAGTTCAACCAGTCGCGCCGTTCCTTTGGCTGGGCGAAAGAGGCAGATGTCCAGTTATCTGTATCCGAGGGGTCTGAAGCATTGAATCCAGTGTTGAGATGATCTTGCGGTAAGTTCTTGGGATCCAGGTGATGCGTGAGTTCTGCAGCGCGGGCCAGACTAACGAGAGCAGCGCAATGCGTACTTGCAATGTCTGCAGACGTCTTGTCGCCGCAGGTATGACCGTAGATCACATTGAGCAGCATAGCCTGTACCAACCAAAGGGGAGTGTTGTGCACAGAGTTATCGCGGACGGAATTGGCACGGCTCAATGCGGCAGACATGTCGGCCTTGCGTCGCTCTTCCAGGTATAGCTGAATCATCTTCTTTGCGGCTTCGAACAGATCCTTCGAAGCAGCAGTATCGTACTCGTACAAAGCACCGATGGCAGCCATCGAAAGGATCAAGCAGCCACCGCCTCCCGCAACGCCAGTCGAACTGAGGTTAAGATGTCCGCTCGGTGTGCGCAAGTTGCTCGTGTACTCGGGAGCCTGGAAGTTGAGAGTCGGGATGTGAAGAAAAGGCGAATGGGGATGGAAATAGGTGATATACGCCGAGATATAGCGCTGCATGTCTGAGGTGCTGGGCAGTTGACTGGAGGTGTTGAAGCCAGTTGAGCGAGCGAAGAGCTCGCGACTACTGAGAAGACTAGAAGCGGGCTGAGAGTACTTGCGGTGATTGAAGCCAGTGGGTTGGGACATGCTCGCTAGTAGAGCCTGTCGAGTGGAGTCTGTAAAGGTATCCGTTGAGACTGGGGAATGTTGACTTCGTAGGGCACTATTCGGGAAAGGAACGTTGAGAGGATTAGGAGATTCTCCGTTTGTTGCCATTGAGGATGAAAACATACTCTGCGAGTGTCCTCCCATCATGGGCTGGCCGACCGAGGTCATGGAGGGAGGGGTGGCATAGGTCTCTACGAACAGGTTCTGGGCCATCAGCGACTTGGGCGACACGGTCTCTGGCGGGATCCCCAATTCGTTCAGCGTCGTCGGCGAAAAGTCGATCGCGAATTGGTTGGCGGACGCCGCTGTGTGTCCGGGGAATGGGTTGTGCCAGCCATTAGAGATGGGAATGCGGTTGGGTCCGTCCAGCATCGCCTCACTAATACCGCTCTGACTACCCGTACTCATTGCCGACGGCGAAGACTCGTCGATGACCGAGTCGTTACCGTTCCCCAGTACGACGGCCGCATCGAACCCATTCATCCAGTCAAAGTTCATCTCCTCGTCCATCATGGCATCCGGATGAGGCATCCCATGGTGTTGGTGGCCGAACGGGGAGGACGGGGGAGTCACCAAAGCCTTGGGGAGAACCTGCAAAGTGTAGTTGAGCCGGGTTTATTGTGCTGCCATGGCCCATCAGCATTCCATCAATACCCAGATCGAAGCTCCCATATACAGGAGCTGTCCGCAATCCACCAGCCATATCCATGGGAAGTCCCGACGTTTCCAACTTAGGCAGACCATTGACTGGTGGATGACCGGAACTGAAGCCCCTATAGTCTACACTTGAACCTAATGATGTTCCAAGACTGGGGTGGTATGCGTGGCCCGATTGACCGGGCGCGGAGGATGGGTTGCTTCCATCAGGAATACCCAAAGCCGATGTACCAATGTGGCTAATCGTGTTGGCACGAGGCCGCATCGAAGCGGAGCTGTTAGCGATGGAGTTCTTGCGCACACGATTGGCGCCCGCACCCGCACCCGCAGCACCCGTACTCTCTCTGCGACCGTTTCTGGGCCGCGAGGATGGGGTCGTTGTCATATGCAACTTCTGCTGATGCCGCAGCAACAGATCACGGCGAGCGAAGCATCGTGCGCAATCGGGGCATTCAAAGGGCTTTTCCTTGGTGTGCGAGCGCTCATGACGTTTCAAGTGCTCCAATCGCGCGAAGGAGCGACCGCAAGTGGTACAGACATGAGGCCGTGGCTTGTCTGTCTTGGGAGGGGGATATTGCCACTGGCGCCGTTTTGGCCATTGGCCTCGGCCTGCTTCTTAGTCTCCTTCGACGGGGCTGCCGATGGAAAAAGAGGAGTTCAGAATTCGTGGGAAAAACTTGCGGTGAGTTAAATCGACAGGGTTGTCGCAAGAGGAAACACTTACCAGGCATGTTTCCGGGAATTTCGTTGATACTGGCAAGATCCACCAATTGCGGGCTTTGGTCTCGTTCGTGGCCGACCATAGCATCTAGCAGCATCCTAAGAAGATTATGTCTCTTGATCCCTGGGGACTGGGATCAATGCACTGTTCTCGAGCTGAGGAGAATAGGTGGAGTATTCGCCGATGTTTTGCCAACGCCAGAACAAAAACTGGAGGACTCGAGAGGTTTGTAGAGAATAGTGATAATCTCGTTGATCGGAAGAGGTATCCGTCACTCTTTCCAGAGGTGACGATAAAGCACGGACTGGGGTAGTTGAGTGATAAATTTACACGAAAAAAGATCGCATCAAGAACTGCACGGTCGGGATGACATCAGGTTAGCATGTTCCTTTTTTTTTTTCAGAGTACGCGATAAAAAAGGACAGATTGAAGGATTGTCGTTCGTTGCCCCAATACAGGGTAACTGACGAGGCTTATCAAGGACGGTGCCGGGGTAAGCGGACCAGGGACCCACCAGATGATTGCGAGCGGGACGAAGCAATGTACAGACGGCCTTCAGTCCAAGAGATGACTCTGCGTCTCAACTAGCAAGATCGCAAAGAATCCAAAAGTTCGAAGAAACAGGATCTGAGGACCTGCGACCGGTGGGCGAGATGGATGGTTCACGGACAATGGAACTTCCAGACTTGGAGGGGCGATCGAAGTATCAGCAAGGCAACCGGGGTCGAGTCTTCCCTGGCCACGAGAAGGAAGGCAAATCTCGGGAGGGTGGCTTGCAGCCGATGGAATCACTCACTGGGAATGTGAGATGAATTCGAAGTCGCGATGTCTAAACTTGGCACGTATCCATTGAAAGGAGAGATTGCGGGCTTCAAGTTCAACTGGGGCGGCTCTTTGCTCACGACAGGTCGGGGGAGCACGGGGTAGTTGGAGTCGCCGGAGATAACCGAGATCGCGGGCAATTGCAGATAAGCTCGATAGGCGGCGCAACGAGGATGGAGGTGGGAAGTAAGGGGAGGAGGGGAGGATGGGAATGGAGGATGGAGAGTTGTGAAGGGTCAGAAAGGGATTCGAAGGGAATGAAGTTTGGAGAAGTTGAAGGACGTGAATTGCCTCCGAGCAACGAGCAGGTCCAATGCTGGAGGTCCAAGTACCTAAGTACTCGGCGTGGTACTCATACGGGGGGCGTATGTACCTTACGGACAAGCAGAGACCGGCGGAGGTTAGCGTAGGAAACGTGGTGTGGTCCGGTCGGCGCGTATGGTACATACCGTATTGACACACCCGGTAAAGGTAAATCCGGTACCCTGTACAACGGACATGCCAATCCATGGGAGCAGGCGTGGCAGTAGTGGCAGTTGCCGGGAGCACCGAGACAGACTCCGTAGAGAAGTTAGGTACTCCGTACAGAGGAGAATATCATATATATGCAATGTCCACGGCAATGTACACTCTCTCGACACCCACGAGGATGATCCCCCATACATACTGTACATTTGGATAGCTTGATCCGCCTACCTGATGATATTATTGTCCTCCAACTCCAAGCACACTCCACCATTACCGCAGATACCACCAGTGAACAAAGTGGATCCCCGCGGACCGGGCGGCCTGGGGAACCAATCGCCCAGCCTCCATTATCGACTTGACCAGCCAGGGCCTGTCCAGGGCCATTCAGGATCAGACAACGTCCATCGCAGGTGCACGAAACGGCCGATGGTGAATGGTCCGCCTCGACAGGATGAGCCAAGGTACTGCCGGAACCGGCGTAGCCTCAAATCTTCCCGCCACGCACTGGCCGGCTCTCGCCGCTCATCGCAAGAGCCAGCCCACCAGTTCACTGGTTCCTGGGGGGCACTTATCGTCCTGCTGGAGTACGATTGGCGTGCTTGCACAGGACTTCCTCCACGCAGTTGCCTAGTTGGGACATTAGTGGCGTCATGAGCCTGCGCTAGCGATAGGTCGGGTATAGTAACCCCGAGCGGAAGGACAGGCTTTGTAGCTGTCTGTGGAAATAAATGCTGGACGCTTGGGAGATAGTCTACAGCACCGTATGATACTCCGGGTTGACGGCAGCTGTCGTTACCTCTCGTTGGTCGGGTATCGTTCTTTTCGTGGCCTTTCCTTGGTTACTCACTCCGTCCGGGGTTTGTACCGAGGTGGACATTGCAACGGGACCCGCTTCAGGAGCTGAAACAAGCCAGTGGGCCATGATAAGAGATACCGTGAGATACGGCGGCAATAATGACAAGAATAGCTCAGATATGGAATGTCGCCCGGTTTGGACATTTGAAAAACTCGTCATAGTTGGCTGCATAAGATCATGACTGGCAAGTATGAAGGGAAAAACGAAGAGCCTATTATTGTTGATCTGCTGAACACAACTCCGGATAACTGATTGTTTCTGGAGTCCCTAGTTGGCACTAAAAATGCCTCGTGTTCCCCCCCCCCCCGGCAAGGTACCAACCATACCCAATCTTTAACCCAGCCCATTTACCTTCTCTGATGGGTAAGTCAACATTCCCAGGCAGATCAACCTCGATAAGTAGCAATTAGTGATCATTCATCATGATTATAACATGCTAAATCACTCTGATGTTCCTTCCAGGTAGTGACAGTAGTAGATAAATCTCCCATACATCCTTCCACGCTTGACTCTTTCTCTGCACAAGCCACCCCGTAACTCGTACTTTGTATCCCACAGACGAGCTCCCAAATACCCAATACCTAAATACCAAAATACGAAGAAAGGGCGATTATAATCAAACCGCCCTCGTGACTGGGCCTCTCTTCACTCACGATCGGCAACGGTCGCAACAGGAGCGACCCCCAGGATGTGTGGGATCAGTGGCCCCAGTCGCTGTTTGTGGGAAGACATCCGCTAGGACCTCCGTCACCACGACTGGTCCAGTACGGAGTACTGTCAGAATTGGTGAGTAGTGACTAGACCGTCTATGATGTGGCCAGGTACCCATCGAGATCCACCGACGAGGCTGGGGCAGAAGCTCCAATGGGCGGAAGGGTCCGCAGACCCCAAAATAAGAGAGGGCCATGCGCCATTTTTGTGGGGGAAGGCCGCGACAGAAGGGTTCGTGTGGGGGATTTCCCTGAGGCCAGGATAGGGATTCGTGGAGTAGGAAAACTTACTGGCAGTCTGCGGCGGCTTGAGGCGGTCCACTGTGTACGGAGTAGTAGTGTCCTCGCGACTGTCCTGCTTAGGCTGAAGTCTGGCCTGGCAAGTTTTCTGGGGATGTGGCTGGCAATTGGGCGGTTGCGGTCATGTCCCGGTACCATTCTTGACTTGTTGTCTTGGAGGAGTCCTCCGTAGTATGGCAATAATCATGGCTGTGGCAAAAAGATTGATCGAAAGGGATGGACAGCCCATGGGCGCATGGGAAAGAAACGAAGATGCATGCGGAAAGAAGTTCAAATCAGTGGTTGATCCAGCAGAAAGAATGTGCCTGGCCTTGTTTCCAACTCTCTGGTGAGTGGCCTCTGGCCACATCCCCGGATTATTTCCATTCGCTGCCCACGGCCCCTTATCCCTTGAGTCTTTCTAGAATCTGACTCGCCCGTCCATCGGTTAAACCGCCTTTTTGCCTTTGGCCGACGCACGTTGCAGCCACGCCGATTTGAGTTTGGGTCGCAAGGAACGAGGTGAATAGACGAACGCGCTGCTTCATTGGCGCGCTGCGGTCCATCGCTGGATCGGTGTGGTGACTGTTGATGCGGCTGGATCTGGGGTTGGCATATTCTTGGGGGCGATAATTTTTGTGCAGCCTTGCGATGGAAGAGGAGAATTGTGTTGGTGGGTGAAACAATGGTTTTCTTGTCCCGTCATTCTTCTAGAAGGTCATGTATAGAGCTAGAGTAGCTGTGGGCCTGTGGACCTGTAAACTGCTGCACTGTGGTCGGAAGGGTCTCGCCTCGGATGTTGGCGGAGAGACAAAGACGAAGCATGACTCTCGGAGCACACGGAGTACTACTGTAATGAGTACTTTATTTCCTCGGTCAATACAGATCCAAAAAAAGGTGATCATTGTGAAACAAAACCAAAGAAAACAAGACTGCTTGTTGCCATAGCACTCGAATTAGAATCTCAATCTGGTTAACTAATAATGCCATCGCGTCGTTAGCACAGCCGCCTTCCGGATATCGGCCCCAAGAGTAAACTGTAAAAAGACATTTCATACTGGAGATACTTCCTAAATCCACCCCAGACTCCTACTCCCTCGTCATGCAATCTGCCTGCACCTATTCGCACGGACATCTCGTTTGCAGAATCCCCAGACGGGCCCCATGCACCACTAGCGGACTAAGCGGGCCTCAAAGGACACTAGGGGCCACTAGTGTCCTTAGCGCAAGTCTGAGAGACGCTGCAGGTGACCCGAGATGACTCAAGGAGGGCTGAGGGACAAATGAAACGGCCGCACGGCCAGCCACTCTATGCATCTCCGAAGCTGCAACGCGGGTGGGATGATCTTGGGGGTGGCTCTAACGGAGGGCCAGGAGGAATGCAGTGGGCAGGACGGAATGGAAGAACGAATGATTTGACTTGAACTGATTCCTGCGTATACCGTCTGGGCTGGGCAGTGTTGCTTGATAATAAAATGTAATCAATCAAAGTTTCTAGATCAAGTAATACAGAATTATGGAGTCAATTGTTTGCATAGTATCACCAATCCTTTGGGGGGTTTTGGCGTTTAGCAATTTACTTTTGTACGCCGTATTCGCAGCATCTTCATGCACGGCGCTCGTTTCTGGACTGCCCGTTGGCCGTCGGAGTGTCGGATGCTTGTCGCTGGCTTATTTTCCACCACATGACCTTGAGCAAATTTCGAATTTGGTGTGCTGTAAGGTTGTTACTGTAGGAATATTGAACAAATACAGCACCTGGAGTCAACGAGTGACCCTGTACTTTCCTTAGCGCAAGTCATTGAGTTTTGCTTTTTTTGTGAATCCGGGGACGCATCACTGTAGCTAACTATTCGATACGCTAGATCAGTTCAATCACTATTACTTGATTAACGGTCAATATTGCGGAACTCTTCGCTTTTGAGCTAAGTATATAGATTGACGGAGTCGTTATGCCCGCTA